TTTCGAATCCCGTCCGCTCCGCCATTTTTCTCATATTAAACAACTACTTAGCGTCTGTTAAGCGGTATTTACCCCCAGTTGCATCATTTTTGTGCCTCCTCGATTTGCGCGAGTAGCCGTGCTATATCGCCTGCGTTCGGGATCCACTTTGCACATCGCTTGAAGCGAAAGCATCAAGGTTTTGGTGACACCTACTACTTGGACGAATTATTCGTGAAGATTCGTGGCAAACAGCACTACCTCTGGCGTGCAGTCGATCAAGATGGCGAAGTTGTAGATGTCTATTTGCAAGGGCGACGAGACGCCAAGCCAGCGAAACGCTTCTTTCAACGTTTTCTGAAATCTGGCGGCACTCCCAGAGAAATCATCACGGACAAACTGCGAAGCTATGGTGTAGCACACCGAGAATTGACTCCTGAAACAAGCCACAACACGGACCAATATGGCAACAATCGAGCAGAACTTTCTCATCAACCCACCCGCGTCCGGGAACGAGTTATGCGTCGGTTCAAATCAATCAAGCAGGCACAACGGTTTCTAGAAAGCCATGCCGCCGTCTACAACCTGTTCAACCTACATAGGCATTCTCTGTGCCGGAGATTTTTCAAGTTGTTTCGACTTCGATCTTTCGCGATGTTGGGCGCGGTGACAGAAACTTAGTCGAGGCGTTGGGAGCATATATCAGTTGGGCCTAGAGGTTAACCTGTCAACACCAGCAGGGTTTAGAATTCCGCGCTCATCGTGGCCTCGATGTTGCCGAGTTGGTCGATCTCAGTGCGTAAGACGTCGCCTGGTTTGAGAAACTGGCGGGGGTCCATCGCGGCGCCAATGCCTCCGGGAGTGCCGGTGAAGATCAGATCTCCCGGCTCCAGCGTCATGGCCTGACTGAGCTGCGCTACCTGCTGATGAACGTTGAAGTGCAGGTGTCTTGTATTGGAGTTCTGGCGCATCTCACCGTTTACGAAACATCGTATGCCAAGGTTGTCTGCACGAACTTCATCTGTTGTGGTGATCCAGGGACCAATCGGTGCATGGGTATCAAAGCTCTTGCCAAGCGACCATTGCGGCGTTCGATGTTGCCACAAGCGTTCAGTGACGTCGTTGCCAACACAGTACCCAAATAAATGTTCTTCCACTCTGTCCTCGGGAATGTGCTTGCCGCCTTTGCCTATCACAGCAACCAACTCCGCTTCGTAATCGACAAACTGGGACACTTTGGGGATCTGAATGGGTGCATACGGTCCGTTCACGGAGGTGACCGCCTTGGTGAACCAGACCTGTTCTTCCGGTGTTTCCATGTTCGATTCTTCAATGTGATCCGCGTAGTTCAGGCCTATGGCGAAAATCTTTCCAGGTCGCAAAACTGGCGCGAGCAGCTTGACCTCGGCAATTGGTTGGGGCTTGCCATCATCTTCAATCTGGTCACCGATGTTCGACCACGCTGAGATGAGCTCGATCATGGACCCGTCGAAGGCAAGTGGCGTAATTGTGTTTTCCGCCACGCGCCCGAGCCGCGGGCCATTGCCATTATCAAAGGTTGCGAGTTTCATATGCGCCCTCCAGGAGGCTGGTAACAGGTTTTTTGGGTGATCATGATCGGCGCACACGGATGCGTCGATAGATAAGAAATCCGCCAGCGATTAAAAAAAGCAGGCTGATCAAGCTGATGACTTTGCTTGCTGCTGGATGTAAAAACATTTGCGCTATGGTGAACTTTGACACGCACAAGGTGTTACACGGACCTTCATGCAAAGCTATGAGTTTCGGTCGCACGATAGGCTCGGGTGCTATGATATTGTTACGGCTTGCAAAGGCCTCATAGGCTGCAATTAACTCAGCGAGAGCGACAGGGTATTCACCGGCGAGATCTTCGGTTGCACCCGGATCTGCAGTGATATCAAAAAGTTCCCATTCGCCCGTTCCAACAGGAGGATTGGCTGACATGGCTTTCCAGTTGCCTGCCCTCACCATTCGATTGCCGAACAACTCCGTTGCGAGCACGCGGTCATCACCCTGAATGTCTGCTTGCAGGAGTGGCAGGAGAGACCTGCCTGCAGGCGCCACCTTGCCCTTGTAGATGGTCTCGGTTGTCGGATCGATTTGCGCCAGATCCATAACCGTTGGCGCTATGTCCATTACATGAGTGGGTGAGTGCCGCATTGAGCCCTGCGGGATTTGTGGTCCCGTGATCACAAACGGTGAACGCACACCGCCTTCACCTGCCGTTGCCTTGAATAATCGAAACGGCGTGTTGCTGCTGTTCGCCCATTGCCGACCCATCGTCGTAAATGAGCCGGGTTTCCCCATCATCTCTGGGCTGAGATCAAAATTCTTAGCCACCCAGGCGCGATCATTGGCGGGGTAGGTGAAAGGTGTTCCCGCCGACGCACCGTTGTCAGACATGAAAATAATATAGGTGTTATCAAGTCGACCGGATGCATCAATGAAGGTGATAAGCCGCCCAATCTGCTGATCCATGATTTCAATCATCGACGCGTAGATCTCCATGCGTCGTGCCTGCACCTCGCGCTCAGTTGTCGAGAGCTCGTCCCAATGTCTGCTGGGGCCATAGAGAAAAGCGGGCAGCGCTACCGGTACAGATGGTTTGGCGCCAGGTGCGAGCAATCCGAGGTGACTCAATTTTGTCACCCTGCGGCTTTTCTCTTCTGCAGGGCCCTGATCAAAATTTCCGCGATAGCGAAGCAACCAGTTGTCCGGCACCTGAAGTGGGTCATGTGGCGCAGTGTAGGCGAGGTAGGCAAAGAAGGGCCGGTCATCTGCGGCGTCGATGTACTCGATAATTTTATCGGTGTAGTTGTAGGTCGAATAGAAATCGGCTGGTAGCTCTACCGGTTCTCCATTTTCGAGATAGGTCGGTGGCTCAATCCGATGCATTGGGCGTTGATCAGAAAAATGACTTGCACCGCCCTCAAGCAAACTGAAGCTTTTCTCGAACCCTCTGTTACCTGGGTGTTGGTCCATATCAATTGCCAGGTGCCACTTGCCGCTCATTGCAGTTGCGTAACCCTTTGCCTGTAAAGCTTCACCAAGGGTGACGACGCCCTCATGAAGTTGTGCCCCATACTCCACTTGGCCAATCTGATTCGGAGCCTGCAGGCCCTGCATGGTCCCAACGCCTGCAGCATGGCTGTTGACGCCTGTCAGTAGCATAGAGCGTGTTGGTGAACATGTTGGGGCGACGTAGAAATTTGACAGAAACGTGCCACGCGCTGCTAATGCGTCGATATTTGGTGTGTTTATGCTGCTACCAAGAAAACCCGGATCCGACCAACCCATATCGTCAGCCACAATAACCAGAAAGTTAGGCTGCTCCTGAGCGCTTGCGGGTAAGACAAGAAAACACGCAATAATAAGCAGCGATGTTGAGCGCATGGGCTCGAGCGCGCAAATCATGCGCTGTGAGTTTCAGTCGAGGGGGTCTTGAGCCGCTCGGCCGCTTCCCGCGCAACTTGTGTTGCCGGCTGGCGTGCGATCCCCAGCCCGGTAAGCCCGAGTATCAGCATTTCGCACAGCTGCTTCTGGGCCTGTTGTCGCGTAAGTCTGTTCTCGACGACATTTACCATCATGGCCTGGCACAGGCCTAACCAGAACAGCATGCCACTGTTGACTGCTTCCGGACGGATGAGGTTGTCGCGCGCGCAGGCTTCAACATCTCCTCTAACTCCCGTGTTTAGTGGGTGGTCCTGCGCAGTGCTGCCAACAGACATGCGAAACATGGCAATTGCGCGTTTTCGATTCGTCAGGGCGTACTCTGTTGCCTCCCGCATACCGCCGGCAAGCCTCGCGACAGGGTTGCTGATGCCATCATTGGCAGCGGTGATCCTTGTTTCAATTTCGGCACGTACTTCCACTGCGATTGCTTTGGCAAATCCGTCTTTGTCGGTGAAGTGATTGAAGAAACTGCCTTTAGCCACACCGGCAGTGGCGACCACATCGTCAATGGGAATTGCATCAATTGGCCGCTCAGCCATCAGATCAAAACCTGCCGCCAGCATTGCGCTGCGGGTGTGTAGTGCCCGGCGGCTTAATTGTTTTGTTGCACCTGTCATTGTCTGCTCTTAGTTGACTAAATAGTCAATTCGCGTATCTTACCCATAAACAGAAAGATTGTCACCCAGGGAGTGCGTTATGAGCATCATTCGGATCGAAGACATTGCGCACGTCCGCTTTGCTGCGCCTGATTTGCAGCAAATGCAGGATTTTCTCAGCGATTTCGGTCTTGCATCGCAGTTTGCTGACGATGGCCGCCTGTATGCGCGGGCAGCAGATGGTTTGCCTTATCACCACGTTACCGAACAGGGTGATCCCGCATTCAAAGGGCTGGGATTGCGCGCCGAGAATATCGACGACCTTGAGCTGTTGGCAGCAGCGGAAGGTGTGCTGGTAGAAAATCTTAATGAGCCTGGTGGAGGTAAAGTCGTACGGCTGAAGGATCCCGATGGCGTGGAAGTTGAAGTTGTTACGGGCCAAACGCGCCTGCAGCCGACTGCACTTACGCCAGATCCGCTGCGCAACACAACAATGTCCCGCTCGCGAGAACGATCAAGTGTGCGCTTGCAGGCGGGACCGTCGCATGTCAAACGGCTAGGTCATTGCGTACTCAACGTCTCTGATTTTCGCCGCTCCGAACGCTGGTACAAAGAGCGCTTCGGATTCATTACGTCTGACGAAATAGAAGCAAAGGCGGGGGTTGCCCTTGGCGCTTTCATGCGCTGTGATCGAGGCGATGTGTTAACTGATCACCACACTCTGTTTCTGGCACAACTGCCACAAAAGCCCGGCTTCATGCATGCAGCTTTTGAGGTTGCCAATATGGACGACCTCATGCTCGGTCATGATCATCTGCAGAACTCCAATCGCTCGGCTTCCTGGGGAGTGGGCCGACATATTCTTGGCAGCCAGATCTTCGACTACTGGCTTGATCCCTGGGGTCACGAACTTGAACACTGGACCGACGGAGATCTGTTTACCGCTGCAGATGGTTCTAATAAATCACCATTCACAGATCTGCTGGCTGTGCAGTGGGGTATGCCAAATCCGATGATGGCTGCAAAGATGGCGCCAGGTCCGAAGACGCTGGGCTTTCTGATGGCGCTTCATGTCAGGATAAAACGTCTGTTCAGTGGCCGCTCAAAGCCCGCGGATCCGTCCTGATGGCTAACAGGACAACAAACGACTGTGATGTGCTGATCTGCGGTGCTGGACCGACTGGGGTCACGCTTGGAATCTTACTGGCTCGCCAGGGTGTCTCGGTGATCATTGTAGAGAAAGAGGCGGATATTTATCCGCTGCCCCGCGCAGCGCACCTTGATCATGAAGCCATTCGTATTCTGCAGGCAGCGGGGGTGGCGGAACTCGTTATGGCCACCTGCCGGCAGGCCAATCGTTATGATTTTCTCAACGCTGCTGGCGATGTCCTGCTGCGATTCGAATCCGAAAGCCGATTGGCACCAGGTGGTTGGCCGCCAAGCAATTTCATTCATCAGCCTTCGATAGAAGCCATACTGCGGCGTGAACTGGCGGATACTCCAGGTGTGGTGATTCGGCCTCGCTGGGAAATGGTTGAGGCTCGAAACAGCGGCAGTCGCGTTACGGCAACCTGTCAGTCACCGGATGGGCCGCAAAACATGACCGCGCGGTATGTTGTTGGCGCTGACGGCGCACGTAGCCCGCTCAGGGAAAGTCTTGGGATTGAGTTTGAAGACCTGAATTTTGATGAACCCTGGCTTGTAGTTGATGCCGTTGTGCAGGATTTTGCGCGGCTGCCGAAGATTAATCTGCAGATTTGTAATCCTGAACGACCGACAACGTGTGTGCTTATGGGCGAAGGCCGGCATCGCTGGGAGTTCATGATCAAGCCAGGCGAAACGTCTGAGCAGGTGTCCGATGATGGATTCATTGAAAAACTCCTCGAACCCTGGGGCGTCAAGGGAGCCATAAGTATCGAGCGCAAAGCGGTTTACCGCTTCAATGCTAGGGTTGCAAAAGCCTGGCGCAAAGGGCGTTTCCTGCTCGCCGGCGATGCAGCCCATCAGACGCCGCCGTTTGCCGGGCAGGGTATGTGTGCGGGCTTGCGGGACGTGGACAATCTGAGTTGGAAACTCGCCAGCGTGATCCACGGTAATGTTGATGCGGACATCCTGGATACTTATCAGGAAGAGAGAAGCCCTCATGTGCGCACGTCCATCAACCTTGCCATGATGATGGGGCAGACAGTCTGCATTACAGATCCTGCAGCAGCGGCATTGCGAGACAAGCAGATGATTGCAGCTCGCGCAGCAGGAACCAGCCAGGATGGTACAGTGCCGGCGCCGCTGTTCAGTACTGGACTGATTCTTTCAGGCGCCCCTGGCGCAGGCGGGTACTTCCCCCAGCCATACAACGTAGAGAACCCGTCAGAGAAGCTGGATGATGTACTTGGCCGAGGGCCGTGGCTTGTGAGCCGCGAGAAGATTGACGCGTCATTAGATACCAATGGCCTGCGTGTTGCAGTTCTATCGGATCCTGATCTTGCGCCTTACGCTGCCGTGCTTGAGACGTGGCTTTCTGAACATGACTCAAACGCAGTGCTGGTGCGGCCAGATCACTATGTGTATGGCGCTGGGGATGCCAGGGCCCTGGTTGAAGCTTTTCAACAGGTCATTCGACCTGCCTCCGCTTCGGCGAAACGTTAGATGAGTGGTCTGGGCTGGATTTTGATGATTTTTTCGTTGGGCTTGCCCGGCTGGTTTTTCGTCGAAAAACTCCGGCGCAAGCGGCGCCCGGTCAATGGTGGGATAAACCGGTCAGTGACGCTGCCCCATTCAAGCGAGATTGAGCTTTACAGCAACAGTTTTTCCCACTGCTCCAGAAAAGCAAGACTGGCATTGGCCGAGTTGAATATTGACGTCACGCACCACTCGATAGACCTTATCGAAACGGGTTGGTACCAGACCATCAGCCCGGCTTATCTGCAGGTAAACCCTTCCGGCCTTGTCCCGACACTGGTGCACAACGGGCACCCGGTGTATGAATCTGATGACATTTTGGCCTACGCTCAGACCCTCGCGGGGCCTCAAGCACCGCAGTTGGTACCCGCAGATAAAGACCTGCGCGATCGAATGTTTGCGTGGCTCGAGTTCTGCTCGATCTCAAGTGCTGATGCGATGGCGGGCATGCAGGACAGAGCTGGAGCCTGCGTGCCCGGCCTGACTTTGCCAATCTTTATCACCGCTATCCGATATATTCCACTACGTAACATATTGGTTGGTTTCCTGTTTCATTTCGACAAGAAGCGACCTGCGATGTTCACAGCAGCAAAACTGTTCGGGCTTCGTCGGATGATGTCCCGGAAACAGGCCCAGAGCATTGTGCGTTCCAGCCGTGACCATATGCGCGGTCATATGGGTACTTTGAATATGGCGCTTATCAAAAGCGGTGGAGACTGGATATTGGGTGAGGACTACACGCTGGCAGATATCTCTATCGGATGCGTTCTTTTGAGATTAGAGGAGACGGGTTGGCTGGCCTGGTTTGCCAAGACATCCGACATCGAAGCAGTTCTGCATTACTATGAACGGATCAAGGCGCGACCCGCTTGGCGTTCAGCAATTAGTGCGCATCAGCACCCCATCATCAGCAAAGCTCAAGGTGATTTGCTGGGCGTGACGAGTACTGATGCCTCCCTGGGCGAACTTGTTTATGGGTCGCTGGAGAGTGAGGCAAGTTAGGTGCTGCCTCCTAGTTAGCCAGGAGGTGTTTTCAGACCCGGGGTCCTCACAGTAGTTGATTAACTCGCCTTCTTCCTGATCTTGCGCGCAGGCTTGAGCTGCTCTTTCAACATGTCTTCCGCAACATCAACCACCTCAAGCAGCGATTCAATAAACTCCGCCCTCTTAAATCGTCTCCCTGCCCAGGACTGTGCAATTTGCGCGTTGCCTGCGTTCAACATGCATGAGATCAATGTAGGTCGAATATCCAGCGACCGATTAACGCCCATATCCTCGGCTATTCCATCCGCAAGCAATTCCTTCATTCGGTGAATGGCGTCCTGTCCTTGCGGCGTGATCACAGGAAAGCGATAGGAGTCGTTCGGAAAGACGAAAATCTCGGGAGAGTTTTCCGAACAGATCCTTATCCACTCTCTCCAGCGCTCGAACGCTGTGCCTTCCTGCGCAAGGAAGTAGCGCTCAAAGGTGTCTGCAGTCATGGTGTGAATGGCTGCCATGATTTCCGCTTTGGTCGGAAAATGACGCACCAGTGTTTGCAGATGCACATCTGCTTCCTTGGATATTTCGGCCAGGGTGGCGCGTTCGTAGCCGTACTGAACGAAGACTTTGTATGCATGCAAGAGAATTTTATTTCTCGTTTTGATTTTACGCGACTGGGGTGCCATGGATGCCTCTACGTTGCTGATTGGAATATTGTACATGAAACAGTGTTGACTATGAGATAACAATAAGTGTAAAAACTTACATATAAATTTCTGCAACAATTTGATTCAAATCAAATTCGATTCAAATTGCTGGAGAAAAAGTGCGATCTTAAACTAAGGGGAGGTTGGTTGTGGCGTACGAATTTTGCAGCGTGGAATGGGTGCGAGCCGCTCGCGATTTTATCCTGAGTGCCGCTGACGGTGCTGATCTGGCCGACACCAACATCACTTTCAATGAGGTTTTTGCGGATGCACCCGGGCATCTCGATCCAGACGAGCAGGGCCGCATTGGATGGTTTCTGCGAATAAGCGACGGCAACATCGAGGTGGATCGCGGCGTTCTTGATAACCCTGACCTACTGATCAAAGGGGACTACGCAACGATTGTGCCGCTGGCAAGAATGGTCTTTGCGGACAATCCAGAACTAGCCGCCGAAGCGCAAACCCTGGTCGAAGACGCGATGCAGAAAGGTCTGATGTCCCGGGAAGGTGATGAGTCTGCTATGGCAGATTTGCCTTGGTTGGCTGGCTTGCATGACGCGATGGCTAGAATGACCGCTTGAGCGTGAATACAAGCAGTCAGCCAAAAGTGGATGAGGTCAGCGGCCGCCGCCTGAGCGCCCGCACCATGTCTTTCTACGGTATTGGCGAAGCCGCAGGCTCCTTCAAGAATATGGCCTGGGGTGTTCTGTTGTTGTTCTACTATCAACAGATTGTCGGCGTCGAAGCGGCGCTTGTCGGCCTGGCCATTGGCATTACTGCATTGATGGATGCAATAACAGATCCATTGGTGGGTGCATGGTCCGATCGTATCCGCAGCCGCTGGGGTCGTCGCCACCCTATGCTGCTGTTCTCAGCACTGCCTCTGGGCGTAAGCTTTGTGCTGTTGTTTAACCCGCCGGAAAACATTTCTGATTTTGAGGGTTTTCTCTGGTTGGCCTTCTTCGGTGTGATGGTTCGAGTCAGCTACACCTTCTACAACATTCCGCATTTGTCGCTTGGGGCGGAGATGTCCGCTGACTATCAACAGCGTTCAACACTATTCGCCTATTCTGCGTTTATAGCCGCCATGTCGGTCTCCGTATCTTATGGCCTGATCACGGGTTACTACTTTCCCACAACGCAGCAATACGACCCCGGCTTTCTAAATCCCGAAAGTTATCTGGACATGAGTCTTACCTACGCTGCAGTCATGTGCGCCAGCATCGTTTTGTGTGCGTACGGCACGCGCCGTGAAATTCCATTCCTTCGAACCAGCCAGGTGCGAGAAAAGCTCTCGCCAGCTGCCTTGTTCAAAGATGTTCGCGAGGTCTTTGGCAGTCGATCATTCCGCGCCTTGTTTCTGGGCGCGGTAACCGCCGCGGTTGTTGCCGGTGTGGAAGGTGCATTCATGCCCTTCATGGGTGTGCACTTCTGGGGGCTTAAGACAGAGGACCTGTTTTATCTCACGTTTGTTGGACTCTTTGCCTTTCCTCTGACCTTCTTGCTGATACCTGCTATGACACGTTGGTTTGATAAGAAATGGGCGATTGTTGTGGCGACGGCCACCTATATTCTGGCTCTTAACCTGCCGATATGTCTGCGCCTGGCCGAGGTGTCCTGGTACCCAGCCAACGGGTCACCCTGGATACTGCCGATCTTTTTGTTCTACAGCACCATCGCAGCGTTGGCCGCGCCGATTATTGGCGCCACGGTTAATTCAATGATGGCGGATGTTGCCGACGAACACGAACTCGATACCGGTATCCGGCGTGAAGGTGTGCTCTATTCAGCGCGCGCATTCTCTGCCAAGGCGGTAGGTGCGCTTGGGATAACCGTTGGCGGCTTCGTGTTGTCAGCCATCGATTTCCCCGAGCGGGCAGTTAGAGGCGAAGTGCCCGCAGAGGTCATCTGGAATCTCGGTTTCTTTGCCGGCCCGGGCACCTCCATCTTTTCTCTCCTGGCGGTTGGGTTTTATCTGGGTTATCAGATCTCACGTGAGCGCCATCAGGTCATTATGACTGAACTGGCAGCCCGGCAGAGCCCATGATGATCATTCCGCTCCGCATGGACCGCCCCGGTAAGTCTACTTTTACACCGGCGATACGGCACGACGCCTGTCCGCCGCCGAAAGCACATATCACAACCGTTGGAAGCAGCCGATTGGCAAGGAGCATAAAACATGAATGATGAAAACAAACCCGCCTACTTTGTAGTTTGTGGCACTACGTTAGGTGGCGAGGTAGACCCGCAATACGCAGAGCGTGCAGGACCTGTCGCAATGCAATCGGGGTTGACCCCGATTGCCGGGGGTGAGGTGGGTAGCGAGAAGATAGAAATACTTGAAGGTGAGCTACCCCCGGGGACAACGTTTTTGGCGATAGAGCAGTTCCCATCGATGTCTGCATTGAAGACCTTTTACTTCTCGGACGAGTACCAGGGCGCCATCCCGTTTAGAACGGACGCCATAAAGATGAACTTTTTGGCTGCCGTTGACGGCATCTCGCCAGCTGAACTGGCGGCGCGTGCGGAAGCGGCTGCCGCTGCGAGATCCGATGACGAAACTGCTAAGCCTTGACCTAAAGTGTTAAAACTTATATAAAAACACATCATCACATTGGGGAGTGTGAAAAATGGCCAAAAGTCCACGCGTAAAAGAAGACGCTTACCTCGGCAGCACGGAAAAACTGTTGGGTGGGGCTGGTGGTGCCAGCGGTGCTGCGCTTGAGCGAATCCTCGCGAACATTGATCGCTTAGGCCTGAATCAAAACCTGATTGAGCTTGAGACTGAGGGCTACACCATGCTCAAAGGTGTGCTTTCGGAGGATCAGGTCAACCGTGCCAAAGCTGCCATCCTCAAGCGTGTGGAGGCAGAGACTGGCCATGCGATCGATCTCGAGACCGCGACTGCAGATGATTTCAAGAATCTGACCTATGTGTACTACATGCTCTACGAGGATGAAGTCTTTGAAGAAATCCTCATGGCGGAAAAGCCGCTCGCGCTGATGACTTATCTTCTGGGTGAAAGTTGTCTGCTGTCCAGTGTTGGTTCGCACTTCAAAGGCATAGGTGAGCAGGGGGTTGTGCCATTGCACAGCGACAACGGCAACGGCATTCCTCAACCTTTCCCGCCCTATTCGCTGTGCGCAAACATGAATTATGCGTTAACGCCTTACAGCCGCGAAGCGGGGTCGTTGGCGGTAGTGCCAAAAAGCCACAAATTGTGTCGCCAACCCACTTTGCCTGAAATGGCGTTGGGGGCTGAAAAGGCCAACCCTGAGGCGCGTTCGATGGATCTGTCTCCGGGCGATTGTGTGGTCTGGCACGGCAATACCTGGCATGGCTCTTTTCCACGCCAGATTCCCGGAATTCGCATGAATCTAGCGGTGTTCTTTGCGCGTCAATTTGTTGTAACACAGGAGCAACACAAAGGCGTTGTTCCTCAGGAGGTGCTTGACCGACACGCGAACAATGAGCGTTTTAAGACTTTATTAGGGGCTAAACAGCCCTATAACTGGACCTCTGAAGGTCCTAACTATGAGTTACAGGCGCGCGCGCCCAGGGGTTTGTACGATTAGCCTCTAGCAGCAAACGTTCTGTTCATGTCACTTTGGGAGAGGAGATTATGATGTTTAAGCAAGAGCGAACTGAGTTCGCGCCGCTGTTTCGATGGATAGCAGTCCTGAGCGCGCTGAGTAGTGTGTTAGTTACGTCAAACGTTTCTGCAGAAGATTCCGGGCGGGTTGTCGAAGAGATTATCGTTTCAGCCACCTATCGCGATACGGCGTTGCTGGACACACCTATTGCGATTACCGCGTTAGATGAAGAGCTGCTCATCGCCAAAGGCGTGACAAACCTGCAGAACCTCTATCAATCTGTACCGGGCTTGTCCTATCGCTCAAATAGCAATTCTTACAACGGGCTGACTGTTCGCGGGCTCACGTCGCCTGGCGGTGGCGGGTCGATTGTTGGTGTTTATATCGACGATATTCCAGTAACCGATGCCAATTCTGGCGGTGTAAGTCAAATTTTAGGCACCTTGTACGATGTACAGCGCGTTGAAGTATTGAAGGGTCCCCAGGGCACCTTGTACGGAGAAGGAAATATGGGGGGGGCTTTTCGTTTTATCACAAACAAAGCTGATCCTAATGAGTTTGACTCGAGTTTTCGAACACAAGTCAGCGACCATTCCGAGAGCGAAGACTTGACCTGGCAGGTCAACGGTATGATAAATGTGCCTATTGTGGCTGATACTCTGGCTCTCAGGGTGTCCGGGCAATATCGTGATCGCGCGGGTTTTCTTGATACGGGTCCGTCTCGAAATGAAGACGATACTAACTTTATAGAAGAGTCTGCACTGCGCGCAAAACTTGCCTGGTATCTCTCAGATACATTCTCGATTGATGCAACCATCAACTACTTTGATTCGGAACACGGTGGCCCCGGTCTTGCAAATATCCCCTACGGAACAACGGATTTAACCAATGCCAACTGGGAAAATCTGTATACGAATGGCGGCAGTGATGAGCAGTGGCAGTATAACCTGTCTGTAAACTGGGAGTTGCCCTGGGCTGACTTTTTGTCGTCAACATCCTACTACGAGCGTGATGTTGATCACGCAGAGCAAACGTCATTCCGCTTTCAGAATCAGGTAGAGCTGGCTATTACCCCATTGCTGCGTCTACCCGAATTTGGACCAGGTATACCTAACCCTTTTTACAACCCAGCGTTTCCCACAGAGGGTGTGGCCATTGAGGCGGCTGGTGGTACAGGCACCTTTCGGCGCCGCGTCCACCGCGTTGTACAAGAGTTCCGATTGGTTTCTACCACTGACGGACCGTTTCAGTGGACGGCGGGGCTGTATTACAAAGACGATAGCACCAACAATGGAAATGAAAGCATACCGGCGTTTGGTGTGACTATGAATCCGGGGTTCGAGGACTTTAAAGGTCTGTACGAGTCGTTTTTTCCTGGCGTTGAAGTGGAGTTCGATAACAAAGAGACGGCGCTTTATGGTGAGGTGAGTTACGATTTGTCTGACCAGTGGAATGTGCTCGTTGGCGCGCGATTTTCTAAAGTTGAGCGTGAGCAGACGAATCTGAATGTGCCCGGCGTAGACGATAACCTGTTTTCACCGAAGGTCACCGTTTCGTTCAGGCCCGTCGAAGATCACCTGATTTATCTGACATACGCCCAAGGTTTCCGTCCTGGCGTCATCAACGCCGCAGTACAGCCGGCGATCAATTCGTTACTGCCGCTTGCAGCCGTACCCGGTGTACAGGAGGACATCGACTTTTTGAACTCAGTGCTGGTAGTTGAGGGCGATGAGGTTTTCAACCTGGAACTGGGTTACAAAGCCTCGTTGTTTGACGGACGGCTCAAAGGCAGTGCGGCCATCTACTATCTCGATTGGAAGGACACTCTGCAGCTGCAGAAGCGCCCTACACTACTCGCGCCAGCTGGTGTCAACTACAACGAAAATGCGGGTAAAGCCCATTCTCAGGGTATTGAGCTCGAGTTTGACGTGCTGCTGACAGAAAACCTGAGCTTTCATTTTGGTGGTGATTACAACCATGAGGCAGAGGTAGAAACGTTATCTGCTGGGGTATGGGCGGATGCAGACGGTAACCCGGTTGATGTCTTGCCCGGCAACAGGCTCGGTTTAGCACCTGAAACCACTTTTAATATGGCGCTGGACTATGGCTTCAATGTAGGCGCAAACCGCGGCTTTGCGCGAATGGACTGGTATCGGGTGTCAGAGAGCTTCAACAATGCAGCCAATGAAGATGTAACCACTGGATACCACACAGTTAACGCAAGAGTGGGGCTGCGTGCTGCCGACGGGCGGTGGTCAGTAAGCCTGTTCGGTGACAATCTGCATAACGATGAGGTGAAGTTCGAAACGAACGCGGTAGGCACCAATTATGGTTTGGCCCGGGTTTTCGGCTTGGATTTTCAATGGAACTTGAACGCAAGGTAAGCAACCTTAGTTTTTTGTAGGAGACCATACATGAACAGCAGCGCCATAGGATTGAGTGATGAAATACGGGCCCTGGGACTTGAGCAATACGTCCTCGAGCTCGAGACGGATGGGCTTACCATTGTCCCGCCAGAGGTAACGGGTGTGACATCGGAGTTTCTCGACCATTGTACGGACGTCCTGCTGGCGCGATTCACTGCGATGACCGGTTGCCCGATCAGTCTGGAGAACGGACCTGAAGGCGAGCTGGACTGGCCATCGGTCGACCCTGTAAGCCCCGATATTCGGCTGCGAGATCCGAATGCCCCCGAACCTTCGCAGATGTTGATCCAGCAGCTGCTGCAGGTGGACCGGTGTTTCCGCGACCTGGCGGTGAATCCGGTTGCCGATGCGCTGATCGACCACATCATGGGTCGCGGACCGACCGGTGCTCGAGCGCGCCGTCTGTCGAGTACTAACTCGTTTGTGAAGTGGCAGGGCGACTACGGATACGGGCCTGCACTTGGGCTGCATGCAGACCAGGGTGCCTGCCCGCTGCCTTGGGGTGATACGGCCTTGACGGCCAATGTCACCTGGACACTGACCGATTACACAAAAGCCGACGGTGCGCTTGCCTGGGTGCCCGGGTCCCACAAGAAAGGTTGCCATCCTGTCCAGCCAATGGCGACAAAAGCTGCGATTCCAGCTGAGTGCCCCCGGGGTTCTGCAATTATCTTTCACGGCGCCACCTGGCATGGCGCTTTTCCTAAAGAGACACAAGGGCTTCGGCTTTGTGCCGTGGGTTACTACCGACATCACTCAGTACTCCCCCAGGAGAACATGACAGTGACGATGGAAAATCAGCCCTGGAGCGATTGTGATGATGCGGATCGGATGCGTGAGCTCATCGGATTCGATGACAATTTCCCTTATCAGGCGCAAAGCTACCCGGTGCCTATGGCGGCGACCAATTGATCGAGCCGGATAGCCTTCAGTGACATTAAAACAGACGCATTGCGATAGAAAAAGGAGCAACCATGAGCGAAGCGGTACAACTACCAGAATTTAACACAGCGCTGTCCTTCAGTGACGACAACCTGCCCGATATGGGCGCACGAACGGAACTGTATCGGGAACTCAAGCAGCTGGATTTGCTCGAGAACCTGGCTGAGCTGGATTTCTACGGCTTTACGGTGATCCCGCCTGAAAAGGTCGGGCCGGCAGCGTTTCACGCAAAGATGAAGAAAGCGTTGATCGAAGTCATTGAAGCGCGTTTTGGTAAGCTCAAGAAGGATGGCACAAGCTGGCAGGGTGCAAATCAGATCCTGCGCCTGATCCTCTGGGAAAATCAGGTCTTTGAAGAGCTGCTCATGAATCCAGCTGGCCTGGGTCTAATCCAGTCGGTGCTCGGCCACAACTGCATTCTTTCGCTGTTTGACGGCTGGGTGAAGGGGCCTGGTGACGAGCGCACACCCATTCACCCGGACCATTGGGACTTCAACCGACCCACATTTCCGCCCGAGCCAATGAGCTGCAACTTTAATTACCTGGTAACCGATTACACCATTGAAGACGGCCCGCTGTCGTTTGTGCCCGGCAGTCACAAGTGGCATCGCAGACCCTCCCCTCAGGAGGTTGAGCATTGGGCGGATCGAGCCCACGCGGTTGTGGCGCCGGCCGGCTCGATGGTGATCTGGGGTGACCTGACCTGGCACGGGTCGCTGCCGCGCAAGAACGCCGGCGAGCGGATGATGATTCTAGGCACCTATAGCCGCAGCTACCTGCAGACCCAGGAGCCTTTCCGGCAGACCGTCACCCAGGAAGCGCTGGCTCGAAATCCAATACGCTTTGCCGGTCTGATGGATGTATACGCGCCATTTCCGTTTGGCAAAAACGACATCGATGCAGAGCGCGCCATGACCAACGTCAACAATGGTGCAGCGGATATGGCGCCCTATCGTAGCCTGTTTGATCGTGAGCCTGCGGGTGACAAGGTAACGCTGCGCCCGGACTATGCGTATGAGTCCTTCGACCGCGAAGGGTGGGAAGCGCAAAGGCAGGCGCGCATGGAGCGATCACCCTTGCGTCAACACAAACAGGAGACTGCAGATGAGTGAGGCTATGGACTTTGATGCCCAGGACAATGTCCTCAAACGCCCGGAGCACCGGGGAACCAAATTCTACGAGCCCTTGGTGAAGCTGGGCCTGCAGCCGTATGTCGCCGAACTGGAGGCGGTTGGTTATACGGTGATACCACCGGAAAAAGTTGCCCCGCCGGAGTTTCTGGAGCGGATTCGCAGCGCGGTGCTACGTATCGCTTCACAGCGCCATGGTGTTGAGTTTCGTCCAGACGAGAATCCAGACCTCGAGGTTAACGCCGGCGTGCCGAACTCGGTGTATGACTTTTACCTGATGTTTGAAGACGAGGTGTTCGAGGAATGGCTGGAGAACGAAACCCTTGGCGCCCTCGTCGACTACGCCATGGTGGGCCAGGGGCAGCTTTCCAGTATGAGTTCAATCCTGAAATGGAAAGGCGGTACCTACGGGCCCGGGTTGGGCCTGCACAGTGATGCTTCAGGCTCTCCCGAAGGTCGCTTGTCAGCGGGCTACAACACCATCTGCAATGGTGCCTATTGCCTGTCTGATTACTCCGAAGCGGGCGGGGCGATCGCCATGGTCCCGGGCAGCCATCGTCTTGGTCGGCAACCCATCAAGGGTGAAGGTGTAGAAGGTGCGGTTCCGGTCGAAGCACCAGCGGGTTCGCTGATCTTCTGGCAGGCGAACATGTGGCATGGCGCCTATCCACGTACGATCGATGGGCTGCGCATGACGATCACTAACTTTTTCTGTCATCGCGCTTTCAAGACTCAGGAAAGATATCAGACGGCAGTGCCCGACGAGATGCTGGCGCGCCACAGCGAGCGGTTTGCCCGCTTTCTCGGTGCCGATGACTTCTATGGTTGGGGTAAAGAAGGTCCCGGTCCTTCAATGGCCAGGGCCACAACCTATAAAGAACGAACGCGCCCGACATCCTGATGATGGCGGAGGGTGAGGGAATGTCGCATGTGAAGACACAGAAGTGCGCATCCATCACCCACACCAAGCGCGAAAACGGCCGGAAACGCATCGCTATCTGCGGTGCTGGAATAGCAGGTCTGACCCTGGCGGGTATTGTTTCCCGGCGACTTAAAGATGAGGTGCGGTTGTCCGTGTTTGAACGGGCACCTGTCGATCGAGATCAAGGGTACGGCCTGGATCTCGATAAGAACGGCCAGGAGGCATTGGCCCGTGCGGGGGTATATCACCGCTATTGGGAGATATCACGTCCGCACTCGGACAGCATGGCACTTTTCCCGCTCAAAGGCTCTGAGACACTCGGCGTGCTTTTCCGGCGAGCTCGAATGCGGCGTTGGTTGCCCTCCTTGTTTGCAGCACGCCCCGAGACCAACCGAGGTGCGCTAAGAGATGTTCTGCTTGAGGGGGTCTCAAAAAACAAGAATGCCGACGTACATTTTGATACGCCGGTGCATGACCTGATTAAAACCTCCGGTGGGATCAAACTGGTCAGCCGGGATGACAAACCACTCGGCGAATATGATTTGGTTGTCGACGCCATGGGTTTGCATTCCCCGCTCAGACACTATCGCGTGATAGATGTCGAAGGTGGTAAACAACGCACTGGAGCCATTCTGATTCACGGCGTCATCAATGATCCGGACGCGAGTGGTAGCCCCGAACTTAAATCCCGGTTGCAGAAGTTTGGCAGTATCACAGCAGTGGGTCGTGGCTACATTGTTGCCATGCAGCGATTTGGCGCGGGCAGCGAAGACAACCGCACAAGCTTCTTCTACTTACTACATCATCTTTCGAGTGAATCTGAACTCTTTGCCGACATTGGCATAGAACCGCCAGATTCCCGCGACACGGGCATCATGCGCGACGAGCGTCTGGACCAGGTTAAAAGATGGGTCAAGGCGGACATGGGTGATCACTTCGACCCAGTGTGGCATAGCGCTGTGGATAGCCTGGACCGTGTCACTATCCGCGACGAGATCACCCATGGCAAAACCTCACTGCGTGAAAAAACCACAATGCCCATCGTCTGCATCGGTGATGCTCTACAACACTGCGGGTTAGGGGGCGGTGGTAATTTGGCGATGCGGGATTCACTCGAGCTCTCCAAACTGCTGGAAAAATCCGCTGCGTTCGATGACAACAGGAAGCCTTCTCTCAAAATGCTGCACCAAGCCGAAGTCAAAATGTTGCGCCGCAAACATGAGTTTGCACGGGATAAACATCGCCTTTTCGGGGTCTACCAGCAGAGAGTTGCAGCGCTCAGCCGTGGTGTAGGTTCGCTTGAAGACTGGATGCAACCAGGTTGGGCGCTGGCGTTGGCAAAGCCTGCGTTGGCTGCGTTTGGATCGTACACCCGTCGAGCGTATCGGCAGGAAGTGGGTACACATGGTTTTTTGACCTGTGATGAAAACACCCCAATCTTTCCTAACGTGAAGTCATTTCTTAAAAAGGAGGAAGGTAAAAGTGAATCATGATGAGAATTTATCAACCTCTGACGATCTTACCCAGTATAAGGATGCACTCGACAGAGAAGGGTTGGTGGTGCTGCCACCTGAAGTGACAGGGGTTTCCATGGCGTCCATCGAGCGGTGCGGCGAGGCGTTACTGAAGCGTTTCCAGGAAGAAACGGGCTGTGAGATCAACATAGAAGAAGGGCCACTTGGCAATGTTGAGTGGCCACAAAACATCCGGTCTGGTTTTCTCAGTAATCCCGATCAGGTCGGATTTGCGAAGCTGCTGGCCTGTGATCGTGGTTTCCGGGATCTGACCGTAAACCCGGTGGTTGATGCGTTGATTGATCATCTGATGGGTCGGATGCCGCTGAGTCGAAAGCACCCCGCCGGGCAGAAAACGCGCCGCTTCAGTAGCGCCCAGGGTCTTCTAAAATGGCAGGGTGAATCAGGCTATGGGGCGTCGCTGGGGTTGCACAGCGACCAGGGCGCATTGGGTATCTTTGCACCGCCCAGACCGTATTGTACGGCAGCGGCCACGACTGCCTTCGCCGCTAATGCCACCTGGTGTCTTACCGACTACACCAAAGAGGGCGGCGCACTCGCTTATGTGCTCGGCTCCCACAGAATCGACCACGAACCAGGACCCGAGGCTGCACGCGACGCGGTCGCGGTTGAAGCGCCGCGCGGTTCGGCCGTTGTCTTTCATGGAGCCACCTGGCATGGCGCATTCCCACGTCTGCTGCCTGGCGTTCGCCTGACCTACGTCGCCTACTATCGGCACGCCTCGGTTCACAGCCAGGAGAATTTCAAGATTACCATGCAGGATGGTGCATGGAGCGACTGTGATGATCCAGACGTTATGCGCGAGTTGCTCGGTTTGGACGACATGTTTCCGTACACGGTAGCCGAACGCGTCTATCCAAAGCTGATTAAAGGTTAAAGGTTAAAGGTTAAAGGTTAAAGGTCTTAAAAGAGGGAGTCGAGAATGCAACGAATAAAATTAGGTGGAGACAATGGCCTCGAGGTGTCCCAATGCGGCATGGGGGTAATGAGTATCACCGCGTACTACGGGGATCCAATTCCCGATGAGGATGCCATTGAACTGCTGCAGAAGTCGGTCGAGTTCGGTTGCACGTTTTTCGATACCGCCGAGGCATACGTTGCCGAGCATCCGGTCACGAAGGAACTTCTGTGGAACGAAGAGATCCTTGGTAAAGCCGTGGCAACCATCGGCCGCGACAAGGTCGAGATCGGCACCAAATTCGGTGGACAGTCAGCGGTGACCGGTCCGGCCAGCGGCGAGCATTTGAAGCGAGCCTGCCATGCTTCGCTCAAGCGTCTGCAAACTGATTACATCGACATGTACTACCTGCACCGGGTTGATCCGAATGTGCCGATCGAGGAGACCGTAGCGACCATGGCCGAGCTCGTGAAGGAAGGCGCGGTGCGGCATATCGGACTGAGTGAAGCTGCCCCGGATATTATTCGGCGTGCCCACGCGATCCACCCAATCGCCTGCGTGCAGCAGGAGTGGTCACTCTATACCCGAGACCTGGAGGAGGACATCGTCCCGGTTTGCCGGGAGCTGGGGATTGGCATCGTCCCTTACTCACCGCTGGGGCGCGGCTTTTTGAGTGATGATATGGTGGCGCCAACAGATGATGCCCGGCAATACTTTCCCAGGCTGACCGGAGATGCTTTTGCAGCCAACAAAGCATTGCGCGCCAAAGTGGAAGCGTTGGCAGAAGCTAAAGGCTGCCACACGGCACAACTTGCTCTGGCCTGGCTCTGGGCGCAGGGGCAGAAGCTTGGCGTGAACGTGGTGCCAATTCCCGGTACGACCAAGATCAGGAATCTTCAGAGCAACTGTCAAGCAGTGGAAGTAAGCATATCGGATGCTGAGCTCGTTGAATTGTCCGGTGTCTTCGACAGCGTCGTCGGCGAGCGGGGTTTCGAGCAGTACATGGACAGCACCTACCGGGTCAGGACCGATGCGCCAGCGGAATCCTGAGCAGCCTGAGCCAGCGGAATTGCGGAGGCGTCGTTGAGCCTGTCAGCCCACCTGACGTTTAACACTAAACTGAGCTACTGGTTCGGGCAGCTTGCGGAGGGATTGTTCAACAGTATCTTCGGAATTCTGCTGCTGTTCTATTTCAATCAGGTTCTGGGGGTGTCTGCCAGCTTGTGTGGCCTCGCGCTCATGATCGGCACCCTGGTGGATGCCTTTACCGATCCGATGATGGGCACGATCTCAGACAACTGCACATCGAAGCTCGGTAGGCGGCATCCGTTCATGTACGCGTCGGCTTTGCCGGCCGCCCTCTGCTTATGGCTGTTGTTCGTCCCACCTGTGCAGGGCGAGTGGCAGCTGTTTGCCTGGCTGACGGGTTTTGTGGTGCTGGCGAAGCTGGGTATGACCCTTTACCACGTTCCCCATCTGGCGCTGGGCGCGGAACTGACGCAGGACCACGATGAACGCACGCGTATCGTTGCGTTTCGCATGCTGTTTGGCGTCGCCGGCTGGATTCTCGTTACCATCGGATTTGCCACTTTCTTTGCAGCCACACCGGAATACGCTAATGGGCAGCTCAATCCGGCAAACTATCCTACGTTTATTGCGCTCGCGGCAGCGGGTGTTTTCATTTCCATTGTCGTCACGTCGCTGGGTACTCAAGGCATCGTCCCGCACCTTCCCAGGGCGCAGTCGAATACAGCGAAGAAACGTACCCAGGTGTTTCTTGATCTACGCACAGCATTTCGTAACGACTCTTTTCGGTGGCTGATCATCTCCTTCGTCTCCGCCACTATTCCGGCTGGCATCGGCGGTGCCTTCGCGCTCTACGTCAATACCTTTTACTGGGAGCTGACACCCAGCCAGCTGCCGGTAGTCATGATGGCGCAGTTTCTAGCGACGCTGGTCGGGTATGCCATTGCACCTGTGTTGGGCAGGGGGCGGGAAAAGCGCACCGTGCTGGTATGGGGGGTTGGTCTGTGGGCTGCAGCAACCGTGGTGCCTTTCCTGCTGCGCTTCGCTGGCATGTTTCCGGCCCCGGGGTCGGATGCAGCGCTTGTTCTGCTGGTGGCGTTCCAATTGCTTGCCGGTGCCGGTATCGCGCAGCTTGTCGTCGCTGTCAGCAGCATGATGGCAGATGTGGCTGATGAGCATGCGCTGGTCGATGGGCGGCGTAACGAAGGCGTGTTTTTTGGTGCGTTTGCTGTCTGCACCAAGGCCACCGCGGGTGTCGGTATTGCGATAGGCGGGGTGCTGCTCGATGTCATCGCCTGGCCTACGGGCGATACCATTCGTACAGCAGCAGACGTGCCGCCGGAAACGCTCACCTACCTTGCCATTCTGGCCGGTCCCGTGGTGGCCAGCGCCGCCGTGCCTTTCTTCTACTGTATCCGGTATTACAGGATTGATCGCAAGCGTCATGCCTCCATCCGCCAGGCGTTGGCTCAGTTGCCCCAGCGCAGTGGTGACACTACTGCCGGTGCTTTGTGATGGGTGTCGACAGGACGGCACAGATCACGCTCTGGGGAAGAGCGTCTTCCTGTAACGTGCAGAAAGTGTTGTGGACGCTGGAAGAGCTGTCGCTGCCCTACAAACATGTCCCGAGCGGCGGCGATTCTGGTGGGCTCGACGACCCTGCCTATCTTGCGATGAACCCCAATGGCCGGGTCCCCACCTTGCAGGACGGTGACCTGGTGCTGTGGGAAAGTGATGCCATTGTCCGTTACCTCGCGATGCGCTACGGATTCGGAAACCTGTGGCCAGAAGACGTTTGCAAACGTGCTCACGCGGATCAGTGGATGACGTGGGGTACCGTGGAGTTAATTCCCGACTGGATTGCGCTGTTCTGGCGTCTCGTGCGCACGCCGGTAGAAAACCGTGATGCGGCTGTTATCGCCCGGCACCTCGATGCCACGTGCAGACGCATGCGTCTGCTCGATCGGCATCTAGACCATCGCCCCTACCTCGCTGGCGATAGTTTTACGGTGGCAGACATTCCTGCGGGCATGACGCTCTACCGTTGGTACGCGATGGACATTGAGCGGCCGCAGACGCCTCGGCTGGATGAGTGGTATGCGCAACTCTGTGATCGCCCCGCATACCGTCAGGGCGTGTGTATTGGTTTTGACGATCTGATTGGCAAGGAGAGTTTCTGATGACCCAGGTTGTGGAGCTAAGTCTTCAACGGCTGCCCGCATGGTTGATGTGGCTCTGGGTGCTGCTACCCATGACGCAGGCTATCGCAGACGCGCCCCATCGCAATGTGTACTTTGGTGACTTACATGTGCATACGATGTACTCAGCGGATGCCTATAGTTATGGCGCGCGTACCGGTCCGGATGAAGCCTACGAGTTCGCCAAAGGAGCGGCTCTGCGTCACCCGTCCGGCCAGATTATCCGCATGCGCGGCGCGCCCTTGGACTTCCTGGCGGTCACCGATCACGCCGAGTACATGGGCAACGTCACCGCCCTCGAAAACCCCGACCACCCTCAAGCCGATTCGGAGCTGACTGCGGCGAGTGATGACTCGATCCTGTGGAATGTATTTGCGAGTTTCGGCAGGGCGATCCAGAGCGGCGAAATCGATCCCAGACTCGAGGATGAAAAAATACGTCGTGACACCTGGCAACGAATCGTCGAGGCCGCTGAACGGCATTACGATCCCGGTCGCTTTACGACATTTGTCGGCTATGAATATAGCCCCTCGCCAACGGGCATGCTGCATCGTAATGTCATCTTCAAGGGCGCTCGTGTGCCGGAGTTGCCATTCGGCGCAACCGATTCGGTAAATCCAGAAGACCTGTGGGCGTGGCTTGACCGGTTGCGGGCAGAAGGCATCGAGGCGCTGGCGATTCCTCACAACACCAACCTGAGCCGTGGAACGTATTTTCAGACCATCAATTTTGCTGGCAAACCCATTGATGAGGAATATGCCCAAGCCCGCATGCGCAACGAGCCGATCGTCGAAATCACTCAGGTGAAGGGTACTTCCGAGACCCATCCGCTGCTCTCGCCGAACGACGAGTGGGCTGGCTTTGAAGCGTTGACGCCAGTGGGTGAAGTCACGCGAAAGTCCGTTCAGGGGGGCTATGCGCGCGATGCTCTGTTGACTGGGCTGCAGTTACAGCAAATGGAAGGATTCAATCCCTATCAGTTTGGATTCATTGGCTCAAGTGACACGCACAATACGGGTGCCGCCTATGAGGAAGCAAACTATCACGGCAAAATAGGCAACCTTGACGGACGCGCTGAGTGGCGCCTGGTCGAGCCTGCCGAGGACGCTGCCCCGATTGAACACCTTCGTGAGCGCGCGTTCAATTGGAGCGCGTCGGGCCTTGCCGCGGTCTGGGCCGAAGCCAACACTCGTGAGGCCATTTACGCCGCATTCCGACGCAAGGAAACCTTTGCCACCAGCGGTACGCGAATCCGAGTCAAGTTCTTCGCCGGTTACGATTTTGACACGGTGGACCATGCCCAGCTCTACGCGACTGGCGTTGCGATGGGTAGCGAGCTGCAAGCGCATGTTCGCGGATCGCCGCGTTTTTTCGCCTGGGCAATGCGCGATCCTTCGAGTGCGTGGCTGCAACGCCTGCAGATTGTCAAAGGCTGGCTCGACGCTGGCGGCGAGCAACATGAGCGGGTTTACGACGTTGCCTGCGGTGACGGTTCTGCGCCCAGCCCGGACACCCATCGTTGTGCGGACAACGGCGCTGGCGTCGATCTCGCTACGTGTCGGTTCGATCACGACAAGGGCGCGGTTGAAATGAAGGTGGCCTGGATGGACCCGGAATTTGAACCCACACAACGCGCTTTCTATTACCTCCGTGTACTGGAGAACCCGACGTGTAGATGGTCGAGCTGGGATGCGTTGCGGTTGGGGATCCCCTTGCGTGTAGATAGGGACGCCACCCTGCAGGAGCGAGCCTGGTCGTCGCCGATCTGGGTGTTGCCAAGCACATAAGCTGAATAAAACGTTTCAAAAGGATTCACATGCGACTGAATGAAATTACCGTTGATGACACCGCAGAGAGCTGGACGGCTATGGGCTTTACTGTTCTGGATGGCTATGTGCCGATTGGACGCAGCCTTCGGTTCAAGCTCACAGGCGGCACGGGACGTGGCGTTCTCGACTACACCTTTGGCGATGCCGGACGAAAGGCGTCCCAATCCCTTGATATCAACGGGCTCAAGACATCGATAACAGGTCTGCCGGATTACCTTTCCGCGCCTGTTGTGAAGCACCCCAATGGCGTCGTTGGCTCGATGAAAACGGTGATTCTGGCGAACAGTGCTGATGCCACCACAGCGCAACTGCTGGCGTTGATGCCCGAACTGGGCCAACCGGCATTATCGAACACGTCCGAGACTGGCATACGCTACGACTACTGGACAAAACTGGATGAAACCCACTTCGAAGTCATCAGCATGAAAGATGAAGTAGTGAGAGATTCGGTGGCGGTGATTTTTCTTTTTGTTGATGACCTGGATGCCGCCATTGCCACCTTTGGTGAGACAAATGTCAGTGCGAAATCGGTGTATGACGGGCGCGATACGGTGCAGGTTCTGCCTGCATCCGGCATCAGCGCGAGCCTGCGGCTGATCACGCAGACGAAGAACGATTCGGAGCCGGAGGCATAGGTATGAGACATCAACGCGCTATTTGGAGCCTTGTGCTCTGCACAGCGCTGGCCGCCTACTGGCCATCGGTCCGGGCCGAGGAGGGCAAGGAAAGGTCCTATTCTCCGTATGCCGGCGAAACCTATCCGTCAAACGTCTACTGGGGTGACATGCACGTGCACACCAGTTACTCCTCCCACGATGCCTACATTGGCGGCTGGAATCGAGTTGACCCGAGCGTGGCCTATCGCTTTGCACGCGGCGAAGAAGTGGAGGCGTTCAACGGTATGCGGGTGCGTCTGCAGCGACCGTTGGATTTTCTGGTGGTGGCAGACCATGCTGAGGGATTAGGGGTCGCCAGTGCGCTGCAGCGGGATGACTCTGAGTTTCCCGACAGCCCGCTGGGTAAGCAGTTTCGCGACGCCTGGACCGAGTATGTATCGAAGTCGACTGCAGAAGGGCCAACTCTCTATTCGCCGACGGTCGCTCCGCTGATGGGATTGTTCTGGAACGAACCCATCGATCCGCCCTATCGCCGCACGCTCTGGCAGCAGGTAATCGCCAACGCGGATGCCTACAACGATCCGGGTAAGTTCACCGCGTTTATCGGCTATGAATGGACGTCATCGATTGCTGTGGAAAGTCCCGAAACGGGCCTTGCTAATCTGCATCGTGTGGTGGTGTTCAAGGATGGTGCGGAAGAGACTGCTCAAACCTACCCATTCTCTCAGGCAGATAGCGTCAAGCCGGAAGATCTCTGGCGGCACCTGGCGGATTACCAGGCGCGCACGGGTGGCGAAGCCCTGGCGATTCCGCATAACTCCAACCTGAGTCAAGGCCTGATGTTTCCCGAGCAGAACGGCACGGGGAAGCCGCTGGACGCTGACTGGGCAACACTGCGCAGTCAGTTCGAAACGATCATGGAGATTACCCAGATCAAGGGTGACAGCGAAACACATCCGGTGCTGTCGCCGACGGACGAATTTGCAGACTTCGAGACCTGGAACGACTGGGCTGGTCCACCGGCGACGGACTTTGTGCCGGATGATCCAGAAGATTTTGTTGCCCGTAAGCGAGGCTCTTATGCCCGCGCTGCCCTGCAAACGGGCCTGAAGCTCGAAGCTGAACTTGGTATCAACCCGTTCAAGCTTGGCTTCATCGGCAGCACGGACAGCCACACTTCACTGTCGACACCCGACGAAGACAACTTCTGGGGCAAGTGGTCCATCGGTGTGCCGAGCGCGGAACGGGTGTCGACGTCCGCCTATGGATGGTCCATGTCCGCGGCAGGACTTGCTGCAGTCTGGTCAACTCAGAATACGCGGGAAGCGCTGTTTGCCGCTATGAAACGTAGAGAAGTGTATGCCACCACGGGACCGCGAATTGCCGTCCGCTTCTTTGGCGGCTGGGATTTTTCAAAAGCCGATGCGGCCGCCCCGGACTTTGCCCGCATTGGTTACGCCCAGGGGGTGCCTATGGGCGGCGATCTTATCCGTAACGCTGAAGCTAAGGCACCACGTTTTCTCGTTCACGCGATGAAAGATCCCAACGGCGCCAATCTGGATCGTGTGCAGGTGATCAAAGGCTGGCTGAACAGCGACGGTGAGCTGCAGGAAAAAATCTACAACGTTGTCTGGTCTGGCGATCGGCAGTTGAAAGCGGATGGTTCGCTCGATCCGGTTGGCTCCACGGTGGATGTACCAGCGGCCACCTACTGGAACACAATTGGTGACGCGGAGCTTGCCACGGTATGGCAGGACCCTGATTTCAACCCGGCGGAACGCGCGTTTTACTATGCCAGAGTATTGCAAATCCCCACACCACGATGGCCGGCGTATGAAGCCAGATTCTTTGCGGTGAAAGACCTCCCGGAGGATGTGCCGCTGATCACGCGGGATCGCGCTTACACCAGCCCAATCTGGTACACGCCATAGGAGATCGGGAAGTATGAGCGGATCACTAGGCTTGATATAAAATATAAAAACTTATATAAAATAGAGTGGAAGTAGGATTGATCATTAGGGAAAGGAGAGAAACATGGAAATTAAGGACTGGCCGCTGTGCCTGCCACAAGCGAAGTTGTACCGCGAACTGGCGCAACTGGATTTACTGGAGAACCTTGCTGAACTCGACATGTTTGGCTTTACGGTTGTGCCACCAGAGAAGGTCGGGCCACCGGAGTTTCATGCCCGGGTCAGGCAAGCCGTTGTCAACGTGGTCGAGCAGCGCTTTGGCAAGCTTGGCAGTGACGGGTTGAGTTGGAAAGATCGCAACCAGATCATCCGCATGATCCTCTGGGATGACGAGGTGTTTGAGGAATTGGTCCTGAATCCTGCCGGTCTGGGGCTGGTGCAATCGCTGGTCGGGACCGACTGTATCCTGTCGTTGCTAGACGGTTGGGTAAAGGGGCCAGGCGAAGAACGCACAGCCCTGCACCAGGACAACTGGGATTACTCGCGACCCGCCAAACCCCCGGAACCGAATAGCGCAAATTTCAATTATCTTGTGACCGACTACACGGTCGAAGATGGCGCACTGACGTTTGTACCCGGCAGCCACAAGTTACGGCGTGCGCCGACACCAGCGGAAATCGAGCACTGGGCGGACAACGCCCAACCCATTGAAGCCCCCGCGGGTTCAATGGTGGTTTGGGGTGACCTGACCTGGCACGGCTCAATGCCCCGGGCCAAGATCGGCGAACGGCTGATGGTGCTGGGCACCTACCAGCGGTCAGTCCTGCAAACCCAGGGCCCTTACCGGGAGGTGGTGCCCGAGGAAGCGCTAGCACGAAATCCGCTCCGGTTTGCCGGCCTCATGGATGTCTACGGCGCGTTCCCGTTTGGCAAGCAGGACTTCGACGGTGAGCATTTACGCAAGCGTGCCGAGATTAGTGCTTATCACAGTTTGTTTGATCGAGAGCCTGCCGGGAGCAAGGTTTCGCGGCGTCCCAACTATGATTACACGGCCTTTGATCGCGAGAAACACCAGCAGGGCTTCGAGAAGATGAAGGCGATGCGAGCCGAAATGGAGAGCAAGAAAGCCGGCTAGTACGCCGTGTTTTACTATATCTGCAAGCGCCTGATGCTGATCGTGCCGACCCTCTTCGGCATCATCACGGTGAATTTCTTCATCGTGCAGTTGGCGCCCGGCGGTCCTATCGATCAGATTATCGCGCAGATGACGGGTGAGGCGGTCGGCGCAAGCAGCCGCATCGCTGGCGCTGCCGTTGATACCGCGGCGACCGAGATCACGTCGCAGTATCCCGGTGCGGACGGCATCGACCCGGCAATGATCACGGCGCTGGAAAAACAGTTCGGTTTCGACCGGCCGTTGCACGAGCGCTACCTGCAGATGCTCTGGGATTATTTACGATTCGATCTGGGCGAGAGCTTCTATCAGGACCGCCGGGTCGTCGACCTCGTGATTGAGCGGTTTCCGGTGTCGATCTCGCTGGGCCTGTGGTCGATGCTCTTGACCTATTTGATTGCCATTCCACTCGGTGTCGCCAAGGCAGTACGCGATGGCAGCCGTTTCGACGTCTGGACCAGTGCCGCGATTTTTGTCGGTTATGCAATGCCAGGATTTCTGTTCGCGATCCTGTTGATCGTCTTGTTCGCGGGAGGCACCTATTTAGATCTGTTTCCGCTTAAAGGCATCGTTTCTGAGAACTTTGCCGAGCTGTCGATGGCTGGCAAGATTGCCGACTATTTCTGGCACATGACGTTGCCGGTCGCTGCATTGACGGTCGGTGGTTTCGCGACACTCACGATGCTCACCAAGAACTCGTTCCTCGAGGAGTTGAGTAAGCAATTTGTGCTGACCGCTCGCGCCAAGGGTTTGGACGAGCGTCGCGTCCTCTACGGCCACGTGTTCCGTAACGCCATGCTCATCATTGTGGCGGGATTCCCGGCAGCATTAATCGGCGTCCTGTTCACCGGGGCGCTCCTCATCGAGGTGATCTTCTCCCTGGATGGGTTGGGCTTGCTCGGCTTCGAGGCGGCGTTAACGCGCGACTATCCCATCATGTTCGGCACGCTGTATGTGTTCACCCTGGTTGGACTGCTGTTGCACCTTGTGGGCGACGTCGCTTATACCCTCGTTGATCCGCGCATCGACTTCGAGACACGCGGTGCTTAGTCTGACCCCACTGACTCGGCGCCGGCTCGCCAATTTCCGCGCCAATCGACGCGGGGTCTGGTCGCTCAGGATCTTTCTCGTGCTGTTGGTGCTTGCGCTCTCCGCGGAATTCATCGCGAACGACAAACCGGTGTTGCTGAGCTTCCATGACAAGTTGTATATGCCGGTTTTGTACAACTATCCCGAAACCACCTTCGGCGGCGCGCTGCTTTCGGAAACCGACTACCGTGACCCCGAAGTCCGGGCCTTGATCGAGAACGGTGGCGGCTGGATGGTCTGGCCGCCGATACCGTTCAGCTACGACACCATCGATTGGCAAATCGGCGAGCCCGTGCCGTCGCCACCTTCATCCCGTCACCTGCTCGGCACAGACGACGTCGCGCGCGATGTGCTGGCGCGCATCATCTACGGCTTTCGGTTATCGGTGCTGTTCGGCCTGTTGCTGACACTGCTGAGCTCCGTGATCGGCATCGGCGTTGGTGCAGTTCAAGGCTTCTTCGGTGGTTGGGTCGATCTCCTCGGGCAGCGCCTGGTCGAAATCTGGGCGGGATTACCAATGCTGTTCCTGCTCATCATCATGGCGAGCCTCGTGCAGCCGAGCGTGTTCACGTTGCTCGGTCTGTTACTGTTGTTTAGCTGGATGGCGTTGGTCGGGGTGGTCAGGGCGGAATTCCTGCGCACCCGCAACTTCGATTATGTGCAAGCCTCGCGCGCGCTGGGTGTCTCGAATTTCGACATCATGCGCCAGGACGTGCTGCCCAACGCGATGGTCGCGGCATTGACCTTTCTGCCGTTCATTCTGACGGGCTCCATCATCACGTTGACCTCGCTGGACTTCCTCGGTTTTGGCCTGCCCGCTGGTTCACCCTCGCTGGGCGAGTTGCTTGCGCAGGGCAAGGCGAACCTGCATGCCCCGTGGCTCGGCTTGTCTGGCTTCTTTGCGTTGCTGGTGATGTTGACGTTGTTGATTTTCGTCGGCGAGGCCGTGCGCGATGCGTTCGATCCTCGGCGCTCTGTCGGCAGCGTAGGCGCGGGGTCATGAGTAAACGCATTGTGGAGGTCGACAACCTGGCGGTGGCGTTCCACGAAAAAACGGTCGTGCGTGATGTGAGTTTCCACATTGAACGGGGCGAGACGCTGGCCCTGGTCGGTGAATCCGGTTCAGGCAAGTCGGTCACCGCCTTGTCGATTCCACAATTGTTGCCCTATCCGCAGGCGCGTCATGCAACAGGTTCCATTCGCCTTGATGGCATCGAGATGATCGGTGCGTCCAAGGCGACGTTGCTGAAAATGCGCGGTAACCGAGTGAGCATGATTTTTCAGGAACCGATGACCTCGCTCAATCCGCTGCACACGATCGAGCGTCAAGTCGGTGAAATTCTGTTCGTGCACCAGCGGCTGGGCCGGCAAGCGGTGCACAAACGCACGCTGGAGTTGTTGGATCTCGTGGGTTTGCAACACGCGAGCGAACGGCTCAATGCATATCCCCACGAGCTGTCCGGCGGCCAACGCCAGCGTGTCATGATTGCCATGGCGCTGGCGAACGAGCCGGATTTGTTGATCGCTGATGAACCGACTACCGCACTCGATGTCACCATTCAGGCGCAGATATTGAACTTGCTCAAAGATCTGCAGAAACGGCTCGGCATGGCCTTGCTGTTGATCACCCACGACCTCGGCATCGTGCGCAAGATTGCCGATAGGGTGTGCGTGATGCACGATGGTGTCATCGTCGAAACGGCCCCGACCGAAAGCCTGTTCACTGCACCGACGCATGACTATACCCGGGCGCTCCTGACCGCGCAGCCCAAAGGCGCACCGGTTGTCGCCATGCCGGATGCGCCGCCGCTGCTGACCGCTACCGGAGTGTCCGTGCACTTCCCGATCGGCAAAGGCTTTTTTTCGCGGAAACGGGTTTTGAAAGCCGTCGATGATGTCTCCATCAAGATCAAAGCCGGACACACAATCGGCATCGTCGGCGAATCGGGCTCGGGTAAAACCACGCTCGGTAAAGCCTTGTTGCGGCTGGTTGCGAGCCAAGGGAGTGTCGTTTTCGACGGCGATCAACTCGATGGTCTGAGTGGTAACGCGTTGCGACCGTATCGCCACCGGATGCAGATCGTCTTTCAGGACCCATACGGCTCGTTGTCACCGCGCCGTTCGGTCCGCCAGATTGTCGAGCAAGGCCTGCGCGTGCATGAGCGGATGCTCGACGACGCTGAACTGGCCACGTTGGTTGACCAGGCATTGATCGACGTCGGGCTCGATCCGGCAGATAAGGAACGTTATCCCCACGAGTTTTCCGGCGGTCAACGGCAACGTATCGCCATCGCCCGAGCCATCGTGCTGCGTCCCAGCCTGATCATTCTTGATGAGCCGACCTCGGCGCTGGACAAGCCGGTGCAGGCGCAAGTGGTTGACCTGTTGCGCGAGCTGCAAACCCGCTACGGCTTGTCGTATGTATTCATCAGCCACGATTTGAAAGTGGTCCGCGCATTGGCCAATGAAGTAATCGTGATGAAAGATGGCGTCATCGTCGAGCAGGGCACGGCCGCGGAAATCTTCGCTCATCCCAAACAGGACTACACCAGGGCGTTGGTCGCTGCGGCATTCGATATGGAAGTGATCACATGAGGTGCTGGCCGGCGATCCTGACACTGCTGGTTGCCGGCTTCGGTGCGTTGCCGGTGCTGGGCGAGCGCGAAGCCGCGGCTGGCTCGTGGCAACACGGCCTATCCTTCTACGGCGACTTCAAGTATCCCCCGGGTTTCACTCACTTCGACTACGTCAACGCGGATGCGCCCAAGGGCGGCAGACTGGTTCGCGCGATCGCAGAGAACTTCAACAGCTTTACCCCGTTCATCGTCAAAGGCATCCCGGCCCCCGGGCTCGACGTGATCATCGAGCCCACTTTGTACGATTCGCTGCTGCGGCCTTCGGGTGACGAGATCGGGGTGTACTATGGCAATCTTGCAGAAGCCATCGCCGTTGCAGACGACATGACCGAGGTGCGTATGCGGTTGCGGTCGGAAGCGCGTTGGCACGATGGTGTGCCGGTGTCCGCTCGGGACGTGAAATTCACCTTCGAGCATATTCGCGACAATGCGAATCCGGGTGTGAAGGCGGCGTACTTGTCGGTCAAACAGGTCGACGTCATCAATGAGAAAGAGGTGCGGTTTCAGTATCGCTTTCCGGTCAACCTGAACGCCATGATGGCCCTCGGTAAAGTTGCCATATTGCCTGAGCACTACTGGCGCGACCGCGACATCACTCAGACCACCACTGAACCTCCGTTGACGAGCGGGCCCTATCGGATTGGCCGCTTCGAGATGGGCCGCTTCATCGAATTCGAGCGCGTAACTGACTACTGGGGCAAGGATCTGGGCCTGCATCGCGGCAGCTTCAACATTGATGTGCTGCGCTACGAAGTCTACCGCGACGCCACCGTACAGCGCGAAGCGTTGCGCAAAGGCCTGTTAGACGTATTCTACGAGCCGAGCGCTGCTCAGTGGGTGACCGGATACGAAAGTCAGCCTTTGCTGGTGCGCGAGCACTACGACTATCAGCATTACGCCGGAGTTATCTCAGCGCTTGCCTTCAACTTGACGATGGAGCGTTTTCAGGACGTGCGGGTTCGAGAAGCGCTGTCGCTCGCCTTCGATTTCGACTGGATGAACCGCGTGTTCGATTACGGGGTTTATGAGCGACCACGAAGCTACTTCCACGGCACCTATCTGGCGGCGACGGGAATGCCCTCCGCTGACGAGTTGGCGCTGCTCGAACCGTTTCGCGACCAGTTGCCTGCCCGCGTGTTTACCCATGCACCGTTCGAGCCGGCAGCAAACGAGAGCAGGCGCGAACGGCTTGTCCGCGCCCAGGCGCTGCTCGCTGAAGCGGGCTGGCGTCACCGCGACGGGGTACTCGAGAATGACGAAGGCGTGCCCTTCAAGGTGGAGTTTCTCGTCACGGGACAAGGCGGTCAACGCACACGCTTGCCTTATGTCGATCAATTGCGTCGGCTCGGTATCGACGCTGCCGTCCGACTGGTCGAAAGTGCGCAATACATCAATCTTCGCCGCGACAACAAAGGCGACGCGGTTGCGGGGAGCCTGGCTGTGAGCATACCGCCGAATCAGGAAGTTCCGGCCTATCTCAGCTCGGCAAGTCGAGGGTCCGCGAATTTTGCTCATCTGGCTTCACCAGTCGTCGACGCGTTGATCGGGCACGTGCTGGGTGCGCGCAGCCGGGACGACCTGATGGCCGCGTCGCGTGCACTCGATCGCGTGCTGTACTGGCAGTTCTACTTCGTTCCCTTGCGGCTGGTCGACGGCATCAACATGGTCATATGGGACAAATACGGCAAACCAGCAGAGCAATCACGTGATCTCGGCGGTTTCCCCAGCACCTGGTGGTGGGATCCGGCGAAGGCGGCGCGCGTCCGCCAAGCCCTGGGCGAGGATTAGCAGATTGTGCTTGTCGTAAAATATAAAAAGTTATATAAATAGAGTCGACTATTTGGTGGGGGAGACCATGCCCTATTTGACGCTTAACAATGCAAAATTATTCTTCGACACCATTGGTGAAGGTGAGCCGATCCTCACCACCCATGGTGTTGCCGAAAATGGGTCTTATTGGTCGCGTACAGGTGTCTCTGAGCAACTGGCAGCCGCAGGCTACCGGGTCATCGATACGGACATGCGTGGTCACGGCCGCAGTGTGCCGCTGGGTAAGGGTGACGCGGGCTATGACGTTGCAACCGTGGCAGACGATTTCGCCCGCGTCGCGGATCATCTTGGCATCGACAGATTCCATCTGTTAACCCACGCCACCGGTGGTATGGCGGGGCTGCACTTTGCCTGCCATCACAGTGATCGTTTGCTCAGCCTCATGAGTACTGATTCGGGCTCCGCGACCATCCCATCGGATGAGTATGCAGATGAGCAATTTGAAAATCGCCCTTTTGAACTGCGTAAGACGCCGTTTAAAAATCCAATGGCTGACAATCGGGAAACCATGCTGGTTTTAGATACGCTGAAACGAGCACGCAACAGCAGCGGGGGTCCTTTCCTGAATCGCCTGAATGCAAATCCTGAGCCTGACCGTTGTTGGGCGGAAACGGCTGACATTCTCGCTACCAGCACGTCGTTTCATGTTGCGGACTTCATGCGCCGTTTTTACACCAATCCCGATCCGAAAATTGCGCAGCTGCGCCAGATTCGATGCCCTGTACTGCTGCTGCTTGGCGAACACGACGTGATGTTTGTTAAACCGAACGAACTGATGGCCCGTGTGATACCCAATGCAAAACATGTGGTTATGCCGGGTCTTGGACACATGACCGCCATTGAGGACCCTGACGGGCTGACCCACGAGCTCCTGTCATTTTTGCAGGAGGTTCAAACAGGATGAGTAAATCCTCAGCCAGCACAGGCATCAACGAGCGTTACTTTGACACGCTTCCCCCAGATGCGATTGCGGATGAACTGCGGCCAGAGATGGAGCGACTGGGCCTGGTTGACAACTGCCGTCAACTCGCCACCCAAGGTTGGACGGTGATCGAAGAAGCGGCTTCAGCTGAATTCAACGCCGCTTTCCGCGACAAGATATTGCAGCTGAGTAAAGGCGCAGGCGCCAATATGCTGCTCGCCAGGGATGCGCTGTTCGCCGAGGCAATACTCAATCCGAAGCTGCTGGCCATGGCGGAATTTTCTGTTGGCCGTGGTTTCCTGCTCAGCCAGGTCGCCGCGAGCGTGCGTGGTAAAGGTGCAGCCAGCATCGGTTTGCATGCAGACAATAACTGGATTCCAGCCCCGTTTCCGGCGCACAACATGTTGCTCACCGCCTGTTGGGCGTGTGATGAATACACGCAGGAAGGCGGCGCGACGTTAATCGTGCCAGGCAGCAATACGCTGCGCCGGCATCCGGATGAGGAAGAGACACAAGCGTGTGCTGGTGCCGTACCCATTGAATGCCCTGCGGGTTCGGTGGCTATGTGGGACGGCAACCTCTGGCATTCGAACTATCCTCGCGACATTGATGGCGAGCGGGTGGTGTGCCACATCACCTATACCCGCTTGATGTGTCGCCAGGTAGAAGACTACGAACCCTGGGCTGATGAGCTCATCGATGCTCACGGTGAAAAAATGTCCCAACTACTCGGCAAAGGGGATGCGCTGTTTAAACGCACCGGTGCTGACTACAGCAAGCTGACACAAACATTTAACGACGCAAAACGATAGAAACTCGCAAAACCGGAGGTAATCCATGAAAACCACAACTGCACAATCCCCAGACAAAGCAAAAATGTCCCCGATCCTGTCCCGTATGACACGCCGGGACGAAGACGCACGTCTTCGAGTTCTGGCGAACATCGAGGCGCTCGGTCTGAACGATAACCTGCTCGAACTTGAAACCCAGGGGTTCACCGTAGTCAAAGGAGCTTTGTCGGAAGATCAGATCAACCGCGCTAAATCCGCTATCTTGCGTAGAGCGGAGAAGACTTCTGGCAAGAAAATCGATCCTGATAATGCCACCGCTGAAGACTTTCACGGCATGAACTATCTGCATTACCTGATCTTCGACGATCCGGTGTTCCCGGAGATCCTGCTGGAAGAGAAGCCGCATGCACTGATGCAATACCTCCTTGGCGAAAGTTGTGTGCTTTCCTCTATGGGCAGCCATTTTCGTGGGCCGGGTGGCATGCCGCTCCCTATGCATGCGGACGGAGTGTCCGTGGGTATGACCGAGACATCCCTGGTTGCAAACTGCAATTACGCGCTGACGCCGTATAACCAGGAAAACGGGGCGTTGGTTCTCGTGCCCAGCAGTCATCGCAAAAATCGGCAGCCGACCGCGCATGAGAACTGGATGGCCGGGCATGAGACCGTGTTGGAGGTCATGGCGAAAGAGCTACCACCGGAGGAATTGGACGCGATTGAATGGACGCCGCCAGTCGGCGCGGTAACCATGGAGATTGATCCGGGTGATGCGGTGATCTGGCACGGTAACACCTGGCATGGCGGATGGCGAAGGGAAGCGCCCGGCACGCGGATTAATCTCGCAGCCTATTTCTGTCGTCCGCACTTAACTACCCAGGAGCGCCGCGGTGATGATCGTTATCCGGAAGTCTTCGAACGCTTCGCCAATGAACCGCGCTTTGCTCAACTGATGGGAGAGAACATCTACAACGGTTGGCGTGAAGAAGGACCTGATTTTACCGGTGGGAAAAGCGCGCCTTCAGGGTTGTTCGACTAAGGAGGCAGCGTGGAATACGTACAGCTTGGCCGCTCGGGGTTGCGGGTGAGCCCCCTTGTGCTGGGTACAGTAAATTTCTCCTGGCTGACAGACGAGGCGGACTCGTTTGCAATCATGGATCATGCATTGCAGCTTGGTGTCAATTTCTTTGATACATCGAATAACTACAACGCAGGTCAGACGGAGGCTTTGCTGGGGCGTTGGTTTGCGCAGGGTGGCGGACGGCGTGACCAGGTTGTGCTTGCCACCAAAGTCTATTCGCCGCCGAACGAATGGGCATCACCGGATGAAGCCAAGCGTACGGGAAGCTGGGTGGGCCCTAACGAAAGGGGTCTGTCTGCCAAAAATATTCGAGCAGCCGTGGATGCCAGCCTCAAACGTTTGCAGACCGACTACATCGATGTGTACCAGACACACCATGTTGACCGCCTAGTGCCCTGGGATGAGCTGTGGCAAGCCATGGATATTCTGGTCCAGCAAGGCAAGATCCTTTATGTAGGCAGTTCAAATTATGCCGGTTGGCACATTGCACAGGCACAGGCTGTCGCCCAGCAGCGCGGCAGTTTTGGTTTTGTCAGTGAACAGAGCGTTTACAACCTGATGAACCGTCACATTGAGCTCGAGGTCGCTCCCGCGTGTGATGCTTTGGGATTAGGTCTGTTGACCTATAGTCCTCTGGCGGGAGGGGTTCTGGGAGGACGCCTCCCTGAAGGTGAAGCAGGTCGTCGTTCGTTTATGCCAAATACCGAAGCTGATCGTCTGCAGCGGTATCTGGCCTTGTGTGAGGATATTGGCGAGTCGCCGGGAGACGTTGCATTGGCCTGGGTTGCCGCCCAGCCCCATATTACCGCACCTATCATCGGGCCGCGGACCATGGATCAGTTTTCAGGCAGCGTCAAAGCCATTGACATACAGCTGAGTACAAGTGTGTTGGAGCAGCTTGATGAGCTGTTCCCAGGACCCGGCGGTCCGGCACCTGAAGCCTATTCGTGGTAGGTATAAATCAAGCTGAGCGATGGAGGAAATCAACATGGAAAGACACGGGTTCATCAAGCTCATTGTGGGCAACCCTGATCGCGGCGTGAGTTTCTATAGCTCGGCCTTCGGATTGCGCGATGCCGCGTGACCTCGACGTTGTGATCTGGGGGGCAACTGGCTACACCGGGGAACTGGCCGTGGCTTATCTCCTCGGCGATGGGTCCAGGATCCGTTCCTTTCCCTGCGAGCAGCCCGCAGCGCCTGCTGACCTGCGATGGGCGGTAGCTGGCCGCAGCCGCTCGAAACTCGAAGCACTCGGCGCCGGGGTTGAAACGATCGTCTGCGACGCCGACGACAAGGCTGGAATCGAGGCTTTTGTCAAGCGTGCGCGAGTGGTGATCGGCTTCGCCGGGCCGTTCCAGAAGTACTCTGACCAGGTTGTTGAGGCGTGCGCGAAGTACGGCACACATTGGTGTGACATCACCGGTGAGATCATCTGGACGCGCTCGCTTATTGATCGTTTCGGTGACCGGGCGCGCGCCAACGGCGCCTGCATCGTGAACCTCTGCGGCTACGATTCGATTCCGAGTGACCTTGGCACGTTGTTTGCGATTAACGCACTGCGCTCGCGAGCTGAGTATCCCCTGTCGCCGATCCGTTCGGTGGTGAACTACCAGATGGGCCTTGAGGGTGGCGGCGGCGGAAGTCTCCAGACCATGCTCGTCGGCATGACCGAGCCGATGCAGCTATCCGGCGGTGTTGATCGCGCCGACCCGTTCCTGCTCGGCGGCGAACCGGCCGGGGGGGTGCGTGAGGAAGACCGGCCGATGAAAGATGCCTATTTCGACGAGGCGCTCGATTCGTGGATCGGCCCGTTTATCATGCAGGGCGTGAACCCATTGGCCGTGCGTAGGTCGAGTGCGTTGCTCGGGTATGGTTCGCAGTTTAACTACCGGGAGGTCGCTGCGTGCCGGAATGAAGAAGAAGCTCAGCGGAGCGTCCAGTTTGTCACCGCACCAGCGCAGCCGGAGGATCTGCGACGTAGAATCGAAGAGGGCACGTTGCCGAAGCCTGGCGAGGGACCGTCTCCCGAAGCGCGCGCCCGCGCCCGTTTCCAATCGACGCTGGTTGCCTGCAATGAGGCGGGCGAAAGTGTGACGGTAACCGTAACGGGCGCCGAAGTCGCTTACGAGGAGACCGCCAAAATGGCGGTAGAGGCAGGGCTCGCGCTCGTCTACGAGGCGGCCTCGTGTCCGGGTGTGGTATCAGGTGGCGGGTTCCTCACGCCAGCGGCCTGTATGGGCACGGTGCTGATTCAGCGGCTGCACCGCGCGGGCATCCATTTTGGCGTGGTGTCTGATGCTGCGCGCCGGCCCGCCGCGGAGTACGCGGGCGAAGCGATCGCTCGGTTCCGGGCAGCAGATGCTCGAAGAGAGGCAAGAGAAAACGTGGCAGGGGAGGAGTAGCCGTATGGCCTGGAAATGGGAGCTGACTGTTGAGCAAGCCATCGACCGCTACGGTCTTGATGAACACGTTCGCAATATCGAAGAACAAGGTTTCACCATTGTGCCGCCCGACCAGACCGGGTTTTCACAGCGGGAGGTTGAGCAGGCCAAACAGTGCATTTTAGCGGAGGCGTCTAAACGCACCGGGGTCCGCTGGGACGAACAGCACGGCGCCCTTGATGAATTTATACCAGGCCGCCACCCACCCGCTTACTGTTATGTCACCCGTACGTTCGAGATCGATCAGGTATTCCGGGACTTTCAGACTAACCCCGTCCTCAATACCCTTCACCGCGGCATCATCGGTGATGCTTTTCGCATGCGCACGGCCAACGGTATGTGGAAGTGGGCCAATGCAGACGGTTGGGGGCCTGATCACGGTCTGCACACAGACACCCTCGGCATGATCTTTGATGTTCATCATCCCTACGTTGCGAACGTCAATTGGCTGCTCACAGACTGCGAAGCAGACGATGGGCCCATCTGTTTTCTGCCGGGTTCGCATAAATTCGGCAAGCTGCCGCAAGGCAATCTGACGGATGAGCTGCGCCAACAGATCCAGCCGATCGAAGCAGAAGCGGGCTCGTTTGTCATCTTTAATGGTAGTACCTGGCATGGCTCCTGGCCGCGCAAAAAAGCCGGGCTACGAATCACTACACACACGATGCGGGGTTTTCCGGGTTTACCCCTATGGGATTTCAGCGATTGTAGTGAAGACATTATTCGCTTGAATCAGGAGCCGGATTTGTTTCGCATGTTGTGCGGTCAGCCACTCATGCGCGGTGACAATCCGGGCTTCCTGCCGCAGCGGAAGCGCGACTCAACCGCAGTTGGATAAATAAAAATAAGAACAAAGCTTTGCTTGTTCGGGGAGAAACATGTCAAAACAAACAGGCCGCCTGAGCGGCAAGGTAGCCCTCATTACCGGCGGTACCAGCGGCATTGGTGCGGCCACCGCGCAACTGTTCATTGACGAAGGCGCGCAGATTGTCATAGCGGGACGCAGTGTAGAAAAGGGCCAGGCCCTGGCGAAGCTGTTGGGTAACAATGCGCTCTACGTGCAGGCCGATGTCACCGAGGAGGAAGATATTGCTGCCAGTATCCAGGCCGCGACCAACCAGTTTGGCCGCCTGGACATTCTCTTCAACAATGCGGGCGGTCCGGTAGGCGCGCCTATCGATCAGCTCTCGCAGCAGCACATCGATTATGGTGTAAGGCTGCTGCTTTCCAGCGTTATGCTGGGGACGCGACACGCGATTGAACCGATGAAAGCCGCTGGCGGCGGTTGTATCATCAACAACTCCAGTATCGCAGCGATACGCTATCGTCAGGGCGATGTGCTCTACTCTGCGTTGAAGGCGGCTGTTACCCACTACACGAAAATGGCCGGCATTGAGCTGGGACCGTTGGGGATTCGCGTCAATGCCATCTCACCGGGTGCAATTGCAACGCCGATTTTCTATGGTGGCTCGGGACGCGCTAACACGCTTTCGGACGAAGAGAACGAGCGCAAGATGGAAAAGCTCAAAGCCAATCTGGCCAATGCCGTACCGCTCAAGCAAACGGGTCTTGCACATGATATTGCCGAAGCAGCCCTGTATCTGGCCAGCGATGCAGGTCGTTTTGTCAACTGCCACGATCTGGTAGTGGACGGTGGCCGCACCTCGATGTTCTACGAGCCTAACGACTGATGCGCTCAGGTGAGGTGTGCCTGTCATGTTCCTGAATCTGAAAGGAGCGATTGTTCACTATCAGGTGAGTGGTGACCCGGGGCGGCCAGCCATTCTGTTCTGGAATGGGGCGGGTTGCTCGTTACAGATGTGGAACAATATTGTTAAGCGGCTGAAAGAAGATTTTTATCTGATTCGGTTCGATGTCCGAGGCACCGGGCGTAGCAGCGCTACGGCGAACCCCGCCCGCGAGTATTCGTTTGAGCAGTATGCGGATGATGTGATTTCAATATTGAATTCACTTGGCGTCGACGTGTGTCATGTATGGGCAATGGCCTGGGGTTCGAGAGCGGCGCTGGCTTTCTGTGCGTTACAGCAGGCGCGAGTGAGGTCTGCCGCCTTTTTTGATCTGAGCATAGGCAAAGCCGATGTCGAGGCGCAGCAACAACAAAGTCTAGTGGCACGCAAAAAACAATACGCTGCCGGCATTGTGGAAGAACCGGCTCCGCTCGGTTGGAATCAGCATAACCATCCTGAAGAGGTGCCAAAAGCACTGTCTGCGGCCGCCCGCTACGATCTGCGCGCAGCAGCGGCAAACCTTGCTCTACCAGTACTGGTGGCCACCGGCGATCACGATCCGAATCTGGCGTCGAGCCGGGAATTTGTTGCTATGACGCCAAGTGCTTCTCTTGTTGTGATGCCCGATGTGGGTCACGGCAGTGTGCTGCAACGGCCGGGTTTAACCACTGCCATCTATGAGGAGTTTCTCAAACGCCATGTTTGAATGGAGAACCGTGCTGGTAACCGGTGCTGCCAGTGGTCTTGGCCGCTGTTGGGTGGAAAATTTTGTTAAGGACGGCGCAACAGTCATTGCCGCAGACATCAATGAAGAAGGTCTGGCTGATTTGGAAAACACCCTGAATTATGTGGTGGACGTTACCGATGCGATTCAGGTTGAACGGATGGTTGAATTTGCCATAGAACAAACCGGTAGGCTTGATGTGCTGTTCAACAATGCAGGACTGGGTTATAGCACCCCTCTGGAAGCAAGCGCGACGGGTGAGTTTGAAAATCATGTCGCCGTGCACCTGTTTGGCGCTGCCAATGGTATGCGCGCAGCGATTCCGCATATGCGCCGGATTGGCTATGGACGCATTATCAATACTCTATCGCGGGCGGCGGAGGTTGATAAGCCAGGTACATCAGCGTATGCGGCGGCCAAAGCAGGGGTGTGGGCGTTGTCTCGGGTGGCGGCGCAAGAAGTAAATGATGCGGACATCTGCGTGAACATGTTGATACCGGGCCCGACTAACACATCTATTTGGGGGAGAGATATGCCTAACCTTCAGGATGCTGCAGAGACCTACCCCACAGCAAAAATGCTGGCTTCGCTACCTGCAGGTGGTCCCACCGGCAAAGTCTTCTGGAATGAAAAGGAATATAGTTTGTTCACCACCAGGGCCAAAAAGGAATGATATGGCAGAAATGAATTACGGCGTCGATTATTCAGACATAAGAGAGCAGGTAGCCCGACTGTGCTCACATTTTCCTGGTGAATACTGGCAGAACCTGGATGAGAAAGCCGAGTACCCGCATGAATTTGTCAATCAGCTGACCGAATCGGGTTACCTGGCTGCGCTCATTCCAGAGATCTATGGCGGCGCGGGTTTACCCATTCGCGCAGCGAGCGTGATCCTGGAAACAATTCACAGCCATGGCTGTTCAGCCGCAGCAAGCCACGCCCAGATGTACACCATGGGTACCGTGTTACGTCATGGCAGTGATGAGCAAAAACAGCGCTATCTGCCTGCCATCGCCTCTGGCGAGCTGCGTTTGCAGGCTTTTGGGGTGACTGAGCCCACAACGGGTTCTGATACAACACAACTGAAAACACGCGCTGAAAAGAAAGGCGATCAATACATCGTTAATGGCCAGAAGATCTGGACCAGCCGCGCACACCAATCGGATCTGATGTTGTTGCTGGCGCGGACGACGCCAGTGGATCAGGTGGCTAAACGTACGCAAGGGTTGTCCACGTTTCTGGTTGATCTGCGTGAAGTGCGCGGCAACGGTTGTGAAATTCGCTCGATCCCAACCATGATCAATCACAACACCACAGAAGTATTTTTCGAAGATATGGCCATTCCAGCCAGTGCCCTGGTAGGGGTAGAAGGGGAGGGGTTTAAAAATATTCTATCCGGAATGAATGCGGAGCGGATTCTGATTGCCTCCGAAGCATTGGGTGATGGACGTTACTTTATTGACAAAGGTGTTGCCTACGCTAACGAGCGAGAAGTGTTTGGCCGTCCAATTGGTCAAAACCAGGGCATCGCGTTTCCGTTGGCGCAAGCCTACGCGCAACTGGAAGCCGCCGAGATGATGATTCGCAAAGCTGCCGCACTGTATGATTCAGGACAGGATTGCGGTGAAGCAGCGAACATTGCCAAGTACCTGGCGTCGGAAGCGGCCTGGAAAGCCGCAGATGAGACCTTTCAAACCTTTGGTGGGTTTGCGTTTGCCAAGGAATATCAGATTGAGCGCAAATGGCGGGAAGTTCGTTTGTGGCGCACAGCACCGATTTCAAACAACATGGTGTTGAATTTCCTCTGCCAGAATGTGCTGGGATTGCCGCGTAGTTATTAGCCGCCCGATGGTTTGGATTGTACTAAAGCCCGTTAACAAGGAAGCGAAACATGAAATCTCCCATATGCGAACTGCTTGGAATTGAATTCCCTTTGGTGGCCTTCACGCACTGTCGTGATGTGGTCGTAGAGGTGTCGAAGGCCGGGGGGATGGGTGTGCTCGGCGCGGCCGGGTTCAGCCCCGAGCAGCTCGAGATAGAGCTGAATTGGATTGACGAACACATCGACGGTCTGCCGTATGGCGTGGATCTGATTGCCCCGACGTCGCTGGCTGCAAGCGACGACGATACGGGGGAGTCGTTGCAGGCACGCGTGCCGGATGAGCATCGCGACTATGCGATAAACGTGCTTGCCCAGTACGACATTGACGCCGGTGATGTCTATGAGAATTCACGCACGGGCGTTGCCAGTGGTTTTCTTACGGAGAACAAGGCAACTAACATTATCGATGTGGCTTTCTCGCACCCGATCAAGCTCATCGCCAATGCGCTTGGTGTGCCGCCCCGGTATATGTTGGAGATGGGCAAGGCGCGGGGAGTTGCCACGGCGGCTCTTGTCGGCGCCAAAGAACATGCCACCAAACAGGTGGAAGCTGGCGTCGATATCCTTGTCGTGGCAGGCACGGAAGCCGGTGGTCATTGCGGCGAGGTGAGCACCCTGGTGCTGGTCCCGGAAGTGGTCGATGCGGTAAAGGGTTCTGATGTCTGCATCCTCGCTGCAGGTGGCATCGTTCGGGGTCGGCAGATGGCTGCCTGCATGGCCATGGGGGCACACGGCGCCTGGACTGGATCAATGTGGCTCACCACCACCGAGGCGGAAACCTCGCCGGTGGTGAAAGAGAAGTACACTCAGGCAAGCTCGCGACACACAGTCCGTTCGAAATATCGAACAGGCAAGTACTCCAGACAGCTGCGTTCAGCCTGGACCGATGCCTGGGAAAGCGAAGAGGCTCCGGAATCACTGCCCATGCCGCTGATGTCGCTGGTCAGCGAACCGGCTTTGCGCCGTGTGACCAAGCTGGCTGAAGGCGGGCATCAGGGCGCTCGATCCCTAGCCACCTTCTTCGTCGGTCAGGGCGTTGGATTGATGAATGAGATTCAGGATTCGCGTACGGTCGTCCGGGAATTTATGGAAGACTATCTGGAAGCGACGGATCGGCTTGCTGCAACCCTGGACGATTGATCGAGGCGGAGCGGACGATAGATAACAAGTTCGTTAACGGCTATGAAACCTATGTTTGGAGGAAAGCCTGATGGCTGACGAAGAATCCCACGGAGTATTGCGTGAGATAAATGAAGGGCGGGTACGGACACTTTTGTTTAACCGACCAGAAGCTTTGAATGCGATGAACAACGCGCTGTTTGTTGCAGTGAGAGATGCATTAAACAAAGCCCGCAAAGATGATTCGGTTGCGGCAGTGATTCTGTCTGGAGAAGGCCGAGCGTTCTGTGCCGGGTTAGATCTAGCTGCGGTGGGAGAGGAAGGTTCTGGTCAATTCCCTGGCATGTTTGCCGCCCTGAATTCGTTTGATAAACCGCTCATCGGTGCTGTTAACGGGCTCGGGGTTGGCGTGGGGATGACCATGTTGGCGTATTGTGATTTGGTCGTGATGGCGCAGGACGCCAAGCTGCGAACGCCGTTTCCGCAACTCGGGTTGGCACCGGAGGCGGGCAGCAGTTACACCTTTCCTGCTCGCTTAGGATGGCAGAATGCGGCCTACGTTTTGATGTCCGGTCGTTGGTTCAGTGCGCAAGAATGCCTGGATATGGGTTTGATCTGGAAAGTGACATCTGCTGATTCTGTCATGCCCGAAGCACAACAGGTTGCATTGGAATTGGCTGCCAATCCCATTCCTTCGCTGATTGCCACCAAGTCGCTGATGTTGGCTGCGGGTCGCCAAGAGGGTGCGATGGCAGCGCATAAAAAAGAGAACGATGCATACGCTGTACTAATGGGTGGCCCGGCAAATGCAGAAGCATTCCTGGCGTTCAAAGAAAAGCGAGCGCCGAACTTTTCCAACATCGAAGGCTTGTAAAAAAACAGGAGTCACCATGGGGTTAAAGGAAGAAGTGGCCACAAGCCGACAAGCATCCTTTGTTGGCCAGGATATCAATTGGTTGATGGCGCAATGGGCAGAGCGCTCACCGGATAAAATCTGCTTTATATGGTGCCCCTTTGAGGGGGAAGAGCAATCCTGGACCTATAAAAAGCTTTATGACGATGCTGGCAGGCTGGCAGCAGGCCTCCAGCAACGAGGTGTAAAGGCAGGTGATTTTGTCATCATTCACCTCGACAATTCCCCGGAGTTTGTCCTCTCGTGGTTTGCATGTGCTCGTATCGGAGCCGTCGCGGTTTCCACCAACACACGTAGTGTTGCAAGAGATCTTGAGTATTTTTCAGAGGTGACAGAGGCGGTTTGTGCCATCACCCAACCAGAATATGCCGCGATGATCAGGGGCGCTTGTCCTGGATTAAATTTTGTTTCCGTGACAGATAATGATGCCGGCAGTCCGAAACAACAGGACGCTGTATTGCCATTTAAGGCGCTGTTTTCCGACGCACCCGCTGAGGCAGTCGCGATAGACCCGGCACGAAACTTGAGCGTTCAGTTTACCTCCGGTACTACTTCCAGACCCAAGGCTGTGCTCTGGACTCATGCTAATGGCTTGTGGGCGGGCAAGACCTCAGCAATACACATGCGCTTGCGCACAGAGGATGTGACGCTGATCTACATGCCGCTGTTCCACACCAACGCCCAGGGTTACTCCATGTTGTCGACCTTCTGGTCAGGGGGAACCATTGTCGTGCAGCCGAAATTTTCTACCTCCAGGTTCTGGGATGTATCCCTGCGCCACGAGGTGAGTTGGGTGTCCATGATTCCCTTCAGTGTAAATGCACTCATGGCGCAACCGGTCCCGGAACACAAGCAGCGTTTTTGGGGTATGGGTGCAAGAGTGCCCGCAATCGAACAACACTTCGGCGTGAATATGATTGGTTGGTGGGGTATGACAGAAACGCTGACTCAGGGAATAGTGACTGACCTTGATCATCCTGGACCCCAGGGAACTATCGGACGTGTCGCGCCGGAATATGAAATTCAGCTCAGAAAAGCAAATGGTGACCTGGCCGGACAGGGAGAGAAAGGGGCGTTGTTTATTCGTGGTGTGCGGGGTGTCACCCTGTTCAAGGAATATTATCGGCACCCGGATGCTAACGAGAAGTCCTTTGATGAAAACGGATGGTTCGAAACCGGTGACCTGGTGAGAATGGATGAAGAGGGTTGGCTGTTCTTTGCGGACAGAGCCAAAGACATGCTCAAGGTCGGTGCCGAAAATGTCGCTGCATCAGAAATTGAAACGGTAATCATGCAAACAGGCATTGTGAAAGAATGTGCCGTCGTGGCGCAAAAACACTACATGTTAGATGAGGTACCCGTTGTTTTTGTCATTCTTAATGATGCTGGTCTTGCACTTGAGGAAGCTGCGGTAAAAGAAAAAATCATATCCCTGTGCGAAGAATTTCTAGCAGACTTCAAGGTTGTGCGAGATGTTCACATTGTCGATGAACTGCCGCGTTCGACTTTGGAAAAAGTAGCTAAAAACGAACTGCGAGATCGGTTGACGGCAATAACCTCAGCTGATGGCTAGGTCTTCTTCGAATATTGTCAGCCAAACGCTGCATCAGCGAACGCACGAATTTCTCTCATAGGATCAGGGCCCGCCGCGGCGTATACAATTTCTGTCGTGCCAAGCTCTGCTTCTTTTGCAAGGCGCTGACGGAAGTACTCACGCGTACCCACCCAACCTTGAGGCTCCCAGGAAAGTTGGTCTCCTGCTGCATCAATCAGAATTCGATCGAGTTCATTTATGTGTGTAGCGTGGCCTTCGTGCACGGCAAGATGCCGAAGCGCTTCCGGGTGGTTGTCATTTAGCTGTTTCAGATATTCTTCGCCACCCGGAATGGACTTGAGGCTGTCATGAGACCTTTCCCACAGACCGTGATACCACATCGCCCACCAGGGACCAGCGGCTTGAATCACGCGCTCATCGTGTAGACCCTCGCCTTCATCCAGTACCGTGCCGTTTATTAGATTTACGTGCGTAGACCACGAGCCATCTCCGCTTTGGAATTGGATGAGCCCGTCCGCAATTTCACGTGCGATGCCTTGTCCTTTGGGACCCAGTGCGGACAATATTAGCGGGAACTCAACCGGTCTGGCTTTTGCCATATGGGGATGGTGGATCATTTTGCAGGGTTTACCTTCAATCTCTACCGTTTCGCCAGCCAACAGGGCACGTAACTGTTTTAAGTAACGGGTTGTATAGGCCCAGGTCAGCCCCCTCTGACCAAGTACAACCCGGGCAGTAAAACCTGTACCAAAGCCAAGGGTTAATCTGCCAGGCCACATTCTCTCCATCGTAAGAACAGCGGATGCGGTTGTCATGACATGACGCAAGTTTGGGACAAGCACTGCGGTGCCTAGCTGTATCCGGTTTGTATTTTGAGCAACCATACCAAGCGTCATCCAGACGTCTTCCCAGATACCTGCGGAGTCGTACAACCAGAGCCGTTCAAAGCCCAGCTCCTCGGCGAGTTTAGCGCCTTCTAAAGCATGAGGTCCGGGTGGAAAGCCGATCGAAATTGTTGGTAAGGTCATGTCTATGTTGCCGCTCGCGGTAATGGCAGTACCTGGCGCTGGTAGGGGACACCAAAACCGGCAAATTCTTTGAACAATTCTGGGTTGACACAATCGTCCGCCAGTTCACGTGGAAAGTGATTCGGGATGTCATCCTGTGGCAGCATTGCTGCATGGCGAAAATAGTTGCTGATTGTGACCCTCAGCCCTGGCGTAGTACGTGGATACGCGCCGTGCCACAACTGCCCATGGAACGCGATAAGCGAACCTTTTGGACATTCAACAGGAATCGCCTGCTCAACAGCTTTCGGCATAATAGGCGCGCAATCAAATCGATGTGAGCCAGGCACACAAGCAAACGCGCCATTTTCCCTGGTATAGTCTGTCAACACCCAGTTACAGTTTGCTGCCAACGCTCGCCCCCAGGGTAACTGATCGCAATGCAAGCCGAGAGACTCGCCATACCCTTCACCAGCCCACTTAACAAAACAGTTGTGTGAACTGAACCGCGCCATGCCGCCCAGGATAAGTTGCATGAGCTGCGATGCCACTGGATTTACCGCGAGGTCGCGAAAAGCGCGGTGAAACGTACACAATTGCATTAATTGAAACTGGCTGGGTTTCACACCAGATTGGCGTTCCAGCGTTCCCTTGTAGTCGCCATAATCGAGTTCACAGGCAGGACCTTCCTCAACACTGAACCTGCAACCCACCAGTTCCTCACTTTTTTCAAGTAGAAGGTCACACAGGTGATCAATCACATCTTCAGAAACGCCTGTAACATCAGGGGGCACCACGGTGAAACCATTCAGTTCAATCTCCAAGGCGTATTTTTCAAGGCCCAGGTCTTTGATACGTCGCTCTGCGGCTGTGTAGAATTTGTCCAGGGTTTCCATTGTCCTCTCCAGCCGTTAATTTGTACCAGCGGCACTGTCTCTATGGTAAGCGCTAAGCGGGCCGCCTTCGATGGTGATGCGGTGCATCTCACGGCGCTCGCCATGGTAATCGTTTGGTGCGTAGTGCCAGGTGGCGCGGTTGTCCCAGAAGGCAATGGAGCCAGGCTCCCAGTGAAACTTTGTAACGAAGGGGTCGGTGACTGCCACCTGGTACAGGTACTCAAGCAGTGGTGCTGAATCTTCAGCGGACCAGCCTTCAAAGCGGAGGGTGAAATCAGGATTCACGTACAGTGCTGGCTTACCGGACAGTGGATGCCTGATCACTACCGGGTGAATCACATCTTCCAGCACATCAGCGGCTTCAGCATTACCAATCCGGCCTTCAGTGACCTCCGCTCTATTGTAGCGATGATCAGTGCCAAAGCGATGTTTTGCTGAGTGCACGGCGCGTAATCCATGGAGCGTGCGTTTGAGGCCATCTGACAGAGCATCATAGGCCTTGTACATGCTCGTGAACCAGGTTTCGCCGCCCTGGCTCGGCAGTTCGCGGGCAACCAGGATCGAACCCAGTGCCGGGCAGGCATCGTAAGAATGGTCAGTATGCCAGCCGCCACCAATGTTGAGCTTCTGGTCTTTTTCCTTGGTGACCATAGCAATCTGTGGATATTCGGTGTGTGCTGCGAAGAAGCGATTGATGTTGATGTCGCCCCAACGTTCTGCAAAAGTAATGTGATCGCGCTCACTGATGTCCTGGCCGCGAAAGAACAGCACGCCGTACTGAGTAAACGCTGCGCGCAGTTGCTGCAGTTCATCCTCTTTCAGGGCATGGATGTCGCACCCGGTAACTTCCACGCCCACCCCGGGTAGCGGTTCTAACTCCATCATGGCTTGCTCAAAAGTATAAAAAAATATATAAAAGAAAACAAAAAATCAACAACAAATCAGGAAGGAACAGTGAGTATGAACTTCGAAAACCGGGTTGTTGTGGTGACCGGTGCAGGCAATGGTATCGGCCGTGCTTATGCACATGAATTTGCCCGTCGCGGAGCCAGAGTTGTCGTCAATGATCTTGGTGGTTCGGTGGATGGCCAGGGCAGCGACAGCGCCACGGCAGACGGTGTGGTTGCAGAGATCAGATCCGCCAACGGCCACGCCATCGCCAACTACGATTCAGTACTGGACGGCGCACGCATAGTCGACTCAGCCTTGCGCGAGTGGGGGCGTATCGACGTTCTCATCAACAATGCGGGCATCGCCTACGCCACGCCTTTCAAGGACATGACACCTGAGTTGTGGAAACGGATGCTGGATGTGCACATTGAGGGTAGTTTCCAATGCACACAGGCCGCGTGGCCGCACATGCTCGAAGCCGGTTACGGTCGGCTGCTCTTCACCTCATCGCCTTTCGGCTTGTATGCAGCAGCAAACTTTGCACACTACGCCGCAGCAAAAGCGGCCATGCTGGGGCTCGCCAAGGCGCTCGCGCTGGAAGGGAAGGCGCATGACATTCATGCTAATGCGGTAGCGCCGTTCTCGGCAAGCCGTATGACTGGACGCTCCAATGAAGAGCAGGAAGCAAGCCCGTTTGGTCCCCGTTATCTTGCGCAACTCGCCGTTTGGCTGTGTCATGCGGATACTCAAGAGACAGGTGGTGTGTTCGAGGTCGGTGGCGGCTTTGTACATCGCGTACGCAATGAACTGAGTAACGGTTTGCATCTGCCTGGGGACGAGTACTCCGCGGAGAACATTGCCGCCAGCTCCTCCACCCTGGACGATTTCAGTGCCAGCATTCACCCTGGTTTAGGCGAATCCTGGACCATAGGCAGAGACGTCTTTGGTGAAGAATGGCAGGCGCAGTTTTAGGTTTGAGCGGCACAAGAAAGATGTTCAGGGTGATGTGAACGATGCGAATTCAATTGAACGGTTGCAGCCATCCAGTTTGCGGTGATGGAGTGATTGCAACCAGCGAGTATCACGCGGCGCGGCGGGGTTAGCCCATTTCAGCGCTGGCGAATGCTGTGGCTTTTGCGCGTGAAGCGGGCAGTGCTCAGCTGGTCATTTACGCGGGTGATGAGTGTCTGCTGAACGAGGCTTTCAGTCCTGCTCCTGTAGATGTATACGCAGTACAGAAAGGCCTGGTTGCAATTCTTACAGTCAAAGCTCAGCAGATCGGTCTGCTTCAGATCAGTGACGCCATCAATCAACATCTGGGTCCGGGATGGACACAACTGGGCCCGGCGGACGAAGCCAGGCTGACCATTGAAAACCTGCTGACCATGACCACCGGTATGGACGATGATTTACAACCGTTGGGAGAGATTGGTCGCAGCTGGCGCTATAACAATACGGCGTACCAATACCTGAAGAAAATTCTATGTCTACGTGCCGGCCACTCCCTGCAGGCATTGTCCGAACTTTGGTTGTTTGAACCCCTGGGCATGAAACAGACCACCTGGGTGGAACGTGCATCCTTAATGCCCGATGGCACACCGATCACGGGTTTGATGTCCACGGCCTGGGACCTGGCGCAGATGGGTCGGTTGATACTGGGGCGAGGCAGCTATGAGGGAAACAAGCTTCTGGTGGATGACGGTGTGTTTGACCGGCTTATTCAGCCGGGTTCCGAGGAGAACCCTGCGTGGGGTCTCTTGTGGTGGAACAATCGTGGTAGCCATTACCCGATACCCATGCAGGAACATAAGGTTGTGCCAGGCTCCATTCTTCCGAACGCACCGGCTGATCTGATGGTCGCCAGAGGCGCAATGCAGAACCACGTCTCGGTTTCACCTTCGCTGAATCTGGTGGTGGCTCGAACCACACAGGCACCGGTTGCGGGTGAGCGTCCGGCAGCGTTTGAAAATGAATTCTGGCGATTACTGCTGACCAACAGGAATCAGATTTAACTGTCGGCGTGCCTCGACACGCTTGTCAGAAAATATAAAATGTTATATAAGTATGACCGCCAATTTAGCACTCAACAAGAAGGAGTTAGGTTTTGGAACATCTGTCGCTCGAAATACGAAAGGGTGTTGCCATCGTCACTTTCGATAATCCTCCGTTATCGGTGATGACACCACAAACCATTCATGAGTTACATGAGTTGTTGCCGCGCCTGGAATCCGAAGAGGTGCGTGCGGTTGTCATAACCGGCAGTAGCGATGAATTTTTCGTACGCCACTTTTCGGTCGAAGAACTCGACGATAGTGCTCAAGGGCATGGTGCGCAGTGGGAAGTGAGCATGATCGATGTGCTCCTGCGTCTTGAAGCGCTGCCTAAACCCGTCATCTCCGCTTTGAACGGGACCGCTATGGGTGGCGGGCTTGAGCTTGCACTGGCAACAGACATTCGCGTCGCGAAGGATGGTCCTTTCCGCTTTGGGCTCCCGGAGATTTCAGTGGGCATCCTGCCTGGTGGCGGGGGTACTCAGCGCTTGAGTGCGCTGATCGGCCGTCACCGCGCGCTGCTGATGATGTGGCGTGCGAAACTCTGCACGCCGAGCGAAGCGCTCGAGATTGGCCTCATCGATGAGTTGGTTGACCTGAACGAGAAGGCGACGGCGTTGGATCGCGCCATAGAACTGGCAAGCGAAATCGCTGCGCGCCCTCCCTTAGCGGTTGCCCACATCAAACGTCTTGCGCAAACCTCAGCGAGTCCTGTAACGAAAGAAATGTTGCAGCTCGAAGGTAGATTGTTTGGTGAGCTTATGGCTACCGATGACGCTAAGCGGCTGCTGGCGCAGGTTGCGGGGGAACATAGAAAACAAAGAGAAGGGAAATAGGAGGCGCTATGAAGATTGGCTGCATACCCATAAACATCGGCCTTGATGGGGAATCAATGGTACGCATCGCACAGCATGCGGAGAATGTGGGTGTTGAATCACTCTGGACCTTCGAGCACGTCATGGTGCCCGAAGATTATGTATCAAAATATCCGTACAGCGCTGATGGAAAGATGGGCGCTGCACCGGAAACCAGCTTTCTTGATCCACTCATCGCGTTGGCCACAATTGCCGCGCACACAAAAACTATCCGTCTGGGCACCGGGGTCAATATCCTGCCGCAGGTCAAGCCCCTGTTGTTGGCCAAACAAGCTGCGAGTATCGACGTGCTGTCCGGTGGACGGCTGATGCTTGGGCTCGGTATTGGATGGCTGCAGGAAGAATTTTCTGCCATGGACACACCTTTTGAAAAGCGTGGCGCGCGCTTTGATGACTACATTGCCGCCATGAAAAAAGTCTGGTCAGGTGATGCCATTGAACACGATGGCGAGTTTGTTCAGTGGCAGGGGTTCAAAAGCTACCCATTGCCGGTACAGCAGCCTCTGCCTGTTCACATCGGTGGTTCAAAAGGCAAGGTGATGCAGCGCATCGCCCGCTATGGCGAGGGATGGTACGCCCCTGAGGCTGCGCCAGATCGCATGCGCCAATCACTGGATGAATTGCGACAGGCATGTGAGGCGGAAGGCCGGGATTTCAACACAATTGAGATCACCTCTAGCGGCAGCATGGACGCAGATCACATCAAAGCGCTGGAAGAGGTTGGCGTGCACAGGGTGACGCTGCCGCTGTTTGGCCTGGCCGGCGAAAAGGACATTTTTGCGGGCCTTGATGCGCTGGGTGAGTTCATTCAGAAACTAGGCTGAGTGTGATCACAAGCGACTGCACGCAATGAGAACCAAACTGATAGATCGGAACTTTTTATGACTAACAAAGCACAACTTCCTGCCGAGGAATTAGGGTTTGATCCGGATGCATTGAGGGAGAAGTACCGCCTCGAACGTGATAAGCGCCTGCGACCAGATGGTAGTAAACAGTACCAGGAGGTTACAGGCGATTTTGCTCGTTATGTAGACGACCCTTATGTCGAAGAAGTGATCGCTCGCGATCCGCTGTTTGATGACGTCGAGGTTGTCGTGATCGGCGGTGGTTTTGGAGGGCTCATTACCGCTGCACGACTTCGCGAGGCAGGGGTAGAGAAGATCCGCATGATCGAAAAAGGCGGCGACTTTGGCGGCACGTGGTACTGGAACCGCTATCCCGGTGCAGCCTGTGACGTGCAGTCCTACATCTATCTACCACTGTGCGAAGAACTTGGTTACGTACCTAAAGAAAAATATGCGCACGCACCGGAAATCCTGGCTCACAGCCGCAGGATCGGCGAGCACTATGATTTGTATGAAGATGCCTGTTTTCAAACGGAAGTGTCCGGGCTTGAATGGAATGAAGATGAGGCTCGCTGGATCATCAGTACAAATCGTGGCGATGCGATGCGCGCTCGGTTTGTAGTGATGTCGAACGGACCTTTGAACCGCCCGAAACTTCCAGGCATTGACGGGCTATCCGATTTCAAAGGGCATACGTTTCATACCAGTCGTTGGGACTATGACTACACAGGTGGTGGTCCGGATGGGGGTCTGACCGGGCTCGCAGACAAACGGGTAGGCATCATTGGTACGGGTGCCACCGCGGTCCAATGTATTCCCCATCTGGGGGAGGGTGCAAAGGAGCTGTTTGTGTTCCAACGCACCCCATCATCGATTGATGTCCGCAATAACAAGCCCACCGACGAAAACTGGGCTGAAAATCTTCAACCAGGATGGCAGCGGGAGTTGATGGAGAACTTCAACTCACTGACTTCCGGCGAAGTGCTGGAAGAGGACCTCGTGCAGGATGGGTGGACCGAGATTATTCGTAATCTCTTGTCTCTTTCGAACTGGCGTGCAGAGGGCGTGGACTGGTCTGAGATACCGAAGCTGATGGAATTGGCGGATTTCGAGAAGATGGAGCAGATCAGGTCTCGAGCGCAAGCTCTGGTGGATGACCCGCAAACGGCCGAGGCACTCAAACCCTACTACAGACAGTTTTGTAAACGGCCCTGCTTTCATGATGAATACCTACCCACTTTCAACCGGGAAAACGTGCACCTGATTGACACCGACGGTAAGGGTGTTGAGAAAATCACCGAGCGCGGAGTAGTGGCCAATGGTGTCGAATACGAGTTGGACTGCATTGTGTTTGCCACAGGGTTCGAAGTAGGTACGGAATACACCCGTCGCTCTGGATACGATCTGGTGGGTAAAGATGGCCTTACCCTCAGTCAGAAATGGTCTGATGGCATACGGACGCTCCATGGCTTACACACTCATGGTTTCCCTAATCTGTTTGTGATGAGCAATGCGCAGTGCGCCTTCACCGTAAATTTCCCTCACGCCATGGATGAAACGGCGACCCAGATTGCGTACATCGTGGACCAGTGCAGGCGCGGAAACATTCGTACAGTGGAAGCCAGCAAAGAAGCGGAAGATGCCTGGGTTGAGGAGATTGTCTCGATGGCTCGCTTCAGTGAAGAATTCCAGTCGTCCTGCACACCCGGCTACTACAACAATGAAGGTCAGCCGAATCCCAAGAGTGTGCAGAACGCCAGTTATGGTAAGGGCCCAAATGCGTTCTTTGCGAAGATGAAAGACTGGCGTGAGGAAGGCTCAATGGCGGGGCTGACCTTGGGTTAGTGGTTGATTGATCTCGTTGGTGTGCTCTCCCCTCCATTCTCTCCAATCACATCGACGGTATCGCCGGCGCTTAGGCGCCGGTTTCTTTTTCTGACTTTGAGTCCAGCGATAGGTTTAAGGTCCGGGTGCTTAACGAACTGTGCATAGGAAGAACATGGCGATCGAACTGAAATCAAACGACCTGGATTTTTCTCCGCTGCATGCGGCGGTACAACGATACGTGGACAGTGGCGTCATTCCGTTTGCCAACTCGGTGGTAATGCAGGGTACGGATGTCGTTGATCTGCATTTCTACGGAGACACGCTCCTAGAGTCAGGAAAACCCCTTGCGGAAGATTCCATCTTTCGTATGCACTCCAGTACGAAACTCGCCTGCTCAATCGCGTTGATGCAATTGTGGGAGGCGGGATCGTTCAAACTCGAAGACCGCCTGGAAGACTATATTCCGGCATTTGCGGATATGCAGGTATTGAAAGAGGACGCTACAGAAATCGATGATACAGAGTCCGCTCATGGCAGTATTCGGATTAATCAGGTGCTGTCTCACACAGCGGGGCTGAGCTACGGTTTCATTGATCCGGAAGGACTGATTGACGGTGCCTACAATCAGGCCGGAGTGAACCCGATGGTTCCGGGAATGACGTTGGAGTCGCTGTGCGAACAGCTAGGGAAATTACCGCTTGCTTATCACCCTGGGACTTTCTGGCGCTACAGCTTCGCCACTGATGTCTGCGCTCGATTGGTAGAAATACTCTCTGGGCAACGGTTTGATGAGTATTTGAAGGCGCAGATCTTTGAACCCCTCGACATGGTAGACACAGATTTCTATGTCCCGAAAGAAAAACTGGACCGATTTACCACCATGTATCTGCCAGATGTTCCTCTGGACCCCATGAGCGCCTGTCCAACACCAGCGGATGTGCCGAGCACCAGTGCAAACCGGAATTTACCTTCTTTTCTCTCTGGTGGTGGTGGCCTGATGTCTACGCTGATCGATTATTTGAACTTTGCCAGGATGATCGCGGCAGGCGGAGAGTGGAATGGAGAGCGAATCATTCAAACTGAGACCCTCGAACTCATGCGAACCAACCAATGTGCGGAAGGGGTAACTGTGAACTTCCCTATGTGGAGTATGCCGGGTACGGGATTTGGTCTGGGCTTTGCAGTAAAAGAAAAGCCGGCCGAGGGAGAATCGGATTCAGCGATCGGAGAATATCACTGGGGAGGTATGGCTGGGACTCACTTCTGGTGGGCACCTAAAGCCAATATTGCTGGTATCTGCATGACACAGCGCATGCCTGGTTTCTGGCACCCATTCAGCCACGAATTCAAGAAACACGCGTACCAGATCGCAGGGTGAGCCAGAGTCGATTTATCGCGAACCAGGCGAGTGGTTTGGATCAAAAACCTGGTTCCCGCCGAAGACACTAGCATGGCGCAGACCTCCGCGCTGCCTGCAAAACAGCGCATGTTCAAATCGCTGCGCAGCCGCGATTTCCGCTACCTTTGGATCGGCAATCTCGCCGCCACATTCGCCATGCAGATGCAGATGGTGGGGCGGGGCTGGCTGATATACGACATGACCCAGTCTCCGGTCCAACTTGCCTGGGTAATGATGGCTTTCTCGCTGCCGATGATGCTGTTCTCGCTATACGGAGGAGTAGCCGCCGACCGCCTGACCAAAAAATGGGTCATGGCCTGGGCCCAGGGAGCGAACTGCGCAAGCACCTTTGTGTTGGCAGCCATTGTCATCAGCGGCCTCGTCGAGTTTTGGCATTTCATTGCGTTCGGCTTGTTCAACGGCACTGTCATGTCGTTCAGCATGCCAGCCCGGCAGGCCATGATTCCGGAACTCGTGGGAGACGATCAGTTGGTGAACGCGGTAGCGCTGAACTCTGTAACGATGAACCTGTCTCGCGTGCTGGGTCCAAGCATGGCCGGCCTGATCATAGCCATCGTCGCCGCGGGTGACACTGGCTCACAGTTCGGGGTAGGCGTGTTGTTCCTCGCCAACGGACTGCTTTATCTGATTTCTGTGCTTACGGTCGTGGTGCTCGACCACAAGGGCAAGTCTCAGCTGCTGGAGCGAGGCACCATCCGCAACGACATGCGCGATGGCCTGCAGTACATCTGGCGCCACCAGCTGTTGCGCGGCCTGATCATCATGACCTTCATTCCGCTGTTGTTCGGCTTTCCCGTGCAGTCGCTCATGCCAGTGTTCAACCACGACGTGCTGCACGGCGGCCCGGACGATCTCGGCATGCTGCTGAGCGTGATGGGGGGTGGCGCCATCTTGGGCTCGGTGATGCTAGCCCGCATCTCGGATACCAAGAGCAAAGGCACCATCCTGTTCGCCACTGCGTTTGCGTGGGCGGTCTTTCTGGGCGCCTTCGCGCTTTCGCCGTCGCTGTGGTTTGCGCTCGCCACATGCGCACTCATGGGGCTTGCCAGCTCCGTATTCATGTCGCTGCACATGAGCATCATCACGCTGATCATCGAGCCCGAGATGCGTGGACGGGTAATGAGCATCATGATGATGACGTTCGGGCTGATGCCCGTGGGAGCCCTACCGGTGAGCTATTTCGCCGAAACCATCGGAATTGACGTGGCGCTAGCCGGTTGCGCGCTGGGGCTGGCAGTGTTGACTTTGGTCATGCTGATCTGGGTCCCGGGTTTGCGTCACATCGACGTGGCCAACAAGGCGCCGTTGCGCAGTCGCGTCGACGGCTAGGGCTTCGCCCTATGTCATTATCCCGTTGGCGTTCCAGCGCTTTAGCCACGCCGTCCGAGTGACGCGCGAATTGGACGCAACTAGGCTGTATCTCAGCCGGCCTGACAGAACTAACACCGGGAATGAATAATCCCTGGAATGCAAAGGTATTTCCCTCTTCGGAGGATTAGGGAAATTATCGCGATTACGCTGATTTTGTGGGCTTCGTTGGTGGGGATAGCGCCGAAGATAGAGAGAATTTTGAGATTTCCCTGCTAATTCCCAGTAGATCAGGGAATCCGTAGAGACGATTTCGCTGGAGACTCCAACCACCGCCATTTTGTCAAGTATATTTGGCTCTACCCAGTTAACGGGGGAGGCTCTACCCACTGGCTCTACCCACTTAACGGGGGATGACCGTTATTCACTAAACCCCCTACACACGGTTGATGATGCCATCCCACCCACAGTGGGTTAAGACCCTCAATCGATAATTCTCAAAATTTCTGAAGCCATAAGCTTGTGTGTGGCGAAATGGTAGTCAGATCGAAATTGGTGTGTGGAATAACCCGCGGCAATGTTGCCGCCAAGTGTAACAGTTGATATCTGCAAACGTTTTGTTGGGGTGCTGGGAGTAGCTACCCGGCGATTGCCCTGCAAGTGCGTCATGTGTTTGGTAGTTATTGTAATAGTCTTTGAATTCGCCCAGTTCTCGTTGCAAATCCAGAGAGTTCCAGAACGGTACATGATCAAGATACTCACGCCGGATGGTGCCGATTACGCGCTCGATAAACGGATGAGACATGGGGACGTACGGAACGCTTTTGATTTCTGTCACATCCAGGATTCTCAGATTCGCCTTCCAACGATGAAATTGGAAAAGCGGATCGTTGTCGCAACTAAGGTATCTGGGTGGATCAGTCCCTGAAATAGCGTGGTTGAACATTCTGCATACGGCGATGCCGTCAACGTCACCTTGATGAATGCCAAAACCGATGATCCTGCGACTGTACTGGTCCATGACAACGAGTACCCAATACGATTTGAGCGTGAAGGATTCACAGCGAAAACGATCGATACTCCAAAGGCTGTCTTTGCTGTGCCCGAGTAGCGACAGCCATGAGGGGCCTTGTGTGTTGCCTGGCTTTGGCTTGTAGTGTTTGGCGAGCACGCGGCGCACGACATCCTTGTTGACCTCAAAGCCGAAATTGAGGGAGATGATGTAGGCGATTCGTGGACAACCATAGCGGGGATTACGCTGTTTTAACTCGACGATGGCGGCGATGAGTTCCCGAGAGAGACCTTTAGGCCCTGGTTTTGTGTGACCGCTGGTGCTAGATAAGCGGCGATATTTGCGTTTCACTAAGGCGCGATGAAATTTCAAAAGCGTAGAAGTTCGGATGATCACGACAACGGATAATCGTCTGCGCGTAGAAATGAATAGAGACAATCCGCCTAAAATGAAACGGTCACTTGTTTTAAGGTTGGGTGCCTTTCTCCTAGATCGACCCAGCACTATGAGTTGTTGTTTGAGGAGCAGGTTTTCAGCAATGATCGCTTTGATGCCACCGGGTCGGAGCATCTTGGCGAGAACCACTAAGATATGAACAGCTAGCAGAATCACAGATCTCATGCTGCTCTATCGTAGATAGGTATCAGTTCACTACAAGGCTGTTATTTTCTTTGGTATTTTGCCGTGACTACGAATTCGCCATGCACAGGTCAGATATCCGGACCTCGACGCTGTTGAACGGCCTGCTTCTCTTGCTGCTCGTGTCGCGCAAGTTCAACCCTGGCCATTTCCGCGGTAGCGCCACGTGCTTTGCCGATCTTCATCATGCTGTCCTGCAGCACCGTACGCATGAAATTGACACCGGCGCCCTGCTGTACGATCTGTATGGCGAGAAAGCGACCACCCTCAATGTACTGCTTGTTGCCGTGGCGAATGGTCACCCCGTCGTCACTTATGCTAAGCACGTTGGCCGGCAGGCTCGCATCGATAACCGGAAACAGGTGGTAGCGAGTGCTGTGATTGTTGTTGGGGTTTAAGGCTGTGCCTCCGAGCCTGCCTAGATGCTGGTCTGACAAAGACTGTCCGTCGAGTTGCCAGACCATCTGCGTCATCTGGGATTTGCGTTCTGAGAAGTCCGGCTGGCCGTACTTGCCGATGAGCGCCGCAACTAACGAGTCAAAGTCGGGGTAGGTGCTGCTATCTACATAACGCACGTCACGCAATATGGACTCCACCTGATGTGCGTTTGGAGGGCCGGCGAATACTGCACTGATAGACTGCCGCGCATCAGTGCCCTGGTAACCTTTTGCGCGCGGATCCCAGAAAGCCTGAACTTCCGCAATGTAGGCGCCAGCCTTGAATGGTTTTTTGTAACTGTCACGGATGATGATCTCGCTGCTGTGCTCCATCAGATTGAGTCTTGGGTTGTGTCTGCGAATGGCCGCCAGCAGTTCTTCCCGGGTCATTCCGAGCTCCAGTCCGACAACATCAATACCCGAACTCTGTCGGGCTTGCGTAGGGGTGTTGACCTGCTTGTGTGTTGTGGATGTGTCGGTACTCACCGTGGCTAATGCCGGAGCATCTGCAGGACGCTGCTGTGCACCACTGATGGCATTTCTCTGATCCAATGCAAGGCCAGCGATGACAAACGGGCTGCCAGCCTCACCGCGACCGATTACCGTTACCTCTAAAGTGCCGGACTGTGATGCTTTGACGGTTTTTGCGTAACTTTGCAGGTCGCTGGAGGCGCTGCCTGACTGATTGTTGATCGCAAGCACGCCATCTCCGGCCTGCTGCGTGAAAGACAGATTGTTAGTGCCGATGACCTGCACGTCCTGCTGCAGCGAGGCACCGCTGCGCAGCCCGAATAGATAAAAATCGTATACCGCGCCTGGAACCAGCCCGCTCAGGACCGCTTTGAACGTGCCACCAAACTCGTAGAGGTTGCCATCGATGGCAGCAAGCGAAGTCACCGAGCGCGGCAATGTACTTGCCATGGGCGTAACGCTGTAAGGAGTACCGGCATGCAGAACCGTCAGCGAGGCGCTGGTGGGAACGCCGCGATTGTCCTTCAACTGGCTGTATTGTCCGGTTCGCGTGATTGAATTCCAGTTTGGCGGTGTCTCACCGGGCCCGAAGTCCAGACCGATAAAATCAGCCGTTGCAGTGAGCGGAAGCAAAAGCAGTGTGATTATCAGGCATTGTAAGAATGACACCAGGAAGCGCATTTTCCACCCCACTCTTTCAGTATTACACATAGCTTGTACTGCGATTTCTGCCGCATTACAAGTTTGTTGTTAAGCAGCGTTCTCCCGTGCTCTTACAGCTCCCTCTGTCACCACAACGTGACGGTCTCTGAAAAGCGGATTTGCGTGCAACTTTAGCGAGATTCCTGTAGGTGGCGAATTGGTGCCCACGCAGGAATTGGCGTGTGGAATAATCCGCGGCAATGTTGTTGCCAACCATAGTCGTTGATATTGACGTATGCCTGGTTGGCTTGTTGACCGAATTTCGCCGGTGAAAGTCCGGAGAGGGCTGCGTGTGTACGGTGGTTATTGTAGTAGTCTTTGAATTCGTCCAGTTTTCTCTCAAGGTCAAGGGAATTCCAGAAAGGCACGTGATCCAGATATTCGCGTCGAATGGTGCCGATCACTCGTTCGATGAACGGATGAGACATAGGCGCATACGGAAGACTTTTGATCTCCGTTACTTCCAGGATTCGCAGATTTGCGCGCCACCGATGAAATCGGAAAAGAGGATCATTGTCGCTACTGAGGTAGCGGGGTGGATCGGTCCCCGAAATGGCGTGGTTGAACATTCTGCATACGGCCACACCATCTACAGGTCCTTGATGAATGCCGAAACCAATGATTCTGCGGCTGTATTGATCCATGACAACCAGAACCCAATAGGACTTAAGCGTTAAAGATTCACAGCGAAACAGATCGATGCTCCAAAGGCTGTCTTTACTGTGACCGAGTAACGATAGCCATGAGGGACCTTGCGTGTTGCGTGGTTTAGGCTTGTAGTGTTTGGCAAGAATACGTCGCACGACGTCTTTGTTGATCTCGATGCCGAAAGTGAGGGAGACGATGTATGCGATGCGTGGGCAACCATAGCGGGGATTGCGCTGCTTCAGTTCGACGATGGCTGCAATGAGTTCCTGAGATGGACCTTTAGACCCGGGTCGTCGATGACCTCTGTTGCCGAACAAGCGGTGATATTTGCGTTTGACCAAGGCGCGATGAAACTTTAATAGTGTAGAGGGTTTGATGACGACTGCTACGGAGCGCAGCCGTTTTCGTGCAACAACCAAGGACAACATGCCAAACAAGAATCGATAGGTTGCCGTAAGATTCGGTGCTTTCTGTCGGGCACGGCTCAGCACGATGAGTTGTTGTTTGAGTATTAGATTTTCCGCGATTAGAGCTTTGATTCCGCCGGGTCGGGACGCGTTCGCGATGAGCACCAGAAAATGGACAAAGAGCAGAACGGTGGACTTCCTGTGACTTATCGTGAACAGGCATCCGGCAACGACAAGGCTAGGATTTGATCTGCTATTTTGCAGTGACTACCTAACGCCATGCACAGGTTACTCACTCCGTATAATTATGCGGATGTATTGACATATATGGCAATATGAACGCATAATTAAGTATGTTTTCAGACACGCAAATTCGAGAGGTCTTTCATTTCCACTTTCTGGAAAGACTTCTGAAACTATCTGATCCCGGTCTCTACATTCTAAAAGGCGGGGTTAATCTGCGTTTCTTTTTCAATAGTCCTCGTTACTCAGAAGATATGGATATCGATGTACTGGCCGGTGGTGTCCAGACGTTGAAGAAAAACGGCTACAAGATTCTGAACGATCGCGCATTCAGGCGCAGCCTCCGCTCTTTCGATATTGTGGACATAGAAATAAATGACCCGGCGAAAGCCAAACAGACTGATACAACACAACGATTCCGTTTCGGACTGTTAACAGCAGCGGGTAACCGATTGCCAACGA